GAGAGAGAGAGTACGGACACAAACAGGGGGAGCGGCAGGTGGAGGGAGAGGGAGAAGCAGGCTCCCCACTGAGCAGGGAGCCTGATACAGATGTGACTCCCAGGACCCTGGGATCACGACCTGAGTCAAAGACAGACACTTCACCAACAGGCACCCCTCTGCCAGTTCATCTTGTGTCTGACTCTGAGTTCCAGCCTCTCTTGGGTCTCCTGTTGTTTGCTCTTGGTTTGGTCTTTGCTTTCTTTGTTCTGGCTTCCTGCCCCATTCCTAGGGTCTATCTCATAGGCATAAAGTTTGCCAGATCAAAGTTAAGTCCCAGTTCTGTTACTCACTAGCTGTGTGACCTTAAACACAGGATTTAACCCCAATTTTTTCATCTGTAAAATGGGACCAATAGGGGAGCCTGGGTGGCTCAGTTGGTGAAGTATCTGCCTTTGGCTGAAATCGTGATCTCAGGCTCCTGAGATTGAGCCCCATGTCAGACTCCCTGCTCAGTGGGGAGCCTGCTTGTCCCTCTGCCCCTCCCCCAACTTGTGCTCTCCCTCTGTCAAATAAATAAATAAAATCTTAAAAATCAATAAAATGGGAGTAATAATGAGAATTTTGCAGGGCTGTCTAAAGATTAAATGCAGTCATTGTCAATATTCAGCATGGTCAGGGCCTGTTGCCCATCCAGTGCTCCACGATGCTTATTTAGTTCTTTTTCCATTTCTTCCTATGGTCCAAATCCCATAATCATTCTGACCTGGTATACTGATCTGTAAAAGGGGGAAATAACATTTCCAGCCTCTGTATGATATCCAGTTTCCTTTTTTCTTTAGTGTTTTGACTTTATTGGGGTGGAAAAAGCAACAATATACCGTACTAAAGACTCTGCTTTCTCCCATTCCTTGCTGCTATGTGGCGCTGAGTATGTTTTAGACAATGATATGAAAGGAAGTGTTGAGTAGTGGTATGGATTGAACTGTGTCCCCACCTCCCCCAAAATTCTGTGAAAGTTCTAAGCTCCAGTACTGCAGAATGTGATCTCATTTGAAAATAGGGTCTTTACTGGGGTGCCTGGGTGGCTCAATGGGTTAATGGTCTGCTTTTGGTTCAGGCCATGATCCCAGGGTCCTGGGATGGAGCCCCATCATGTCATTGCCAGTTGAGGGCTCCCTGCTTCTCATCAACCTCTGCCCCTCCCCCCTTCCTATCCCTCCCCCTGTTCCTACCCCTCTGCCTGTACTCTCTCTCTTGCTCTTTCTCTTAAATAAATAAAATCTTAAAAAAAAAAGAAAATAGGCTCTTTATATAGATAATAAAGTTAAAATGAGGCCATTAGGGTGGGCCCTCACCCAATATAATTAGAGTCCTTATTAAAAGGGGAAATTTGGACACAGGGAAGATGACGTGAAGATACACAGTGAGAAGACAGCCATATGAGCAGGGGAAGATTCTCCCCTAGAACCATCAGAGAGAGCATGGCACGCCGACACCTTGATTTTGGACTTCTAGCCTCCAGAACTGTGAGACAATAAGTATCTTGTTTCAAGCCACCCAGTTTTTGGTACAGCAGCCCTAGGAAATTAACCAATGTGCAATGGCTGATGGCCGCCTGAGCAAGCTCTCCTGGTGACTGCAGTGTGTAGCGCTGGTACTTAACATAGTCAACATAGTCGACAATTGGCACGGAGATGGGCACTGATGAGTCAGAGGGGATACTGAACATGAACAAGTCATACTGATTAAATGTTAACCCTGTGAATGCTCCAGCAGCCATGTTGGGCCATGAGGCTAAAGCCCAGGAACTAAGGATGGCAGAATTGAAAGAGGGGAGGAGCCTTGGTTCCTGATGACTTTGTGAAGCTGCCACGCCCGACGTGGACTGTCCACCTCCAATGGTATACTATAGACATAGAAGGATAAACCTGTGTTTGTTCCTCACTTTGTGAGTTCGACCTTTTATTTTCCTCAGCCAAACCCAAATTGAACCGATGTCCAATCCCATGAGGCATTGGGAAGCCTGAATGAAATGATGAGCCAGAAAGTATTTCGTAAACCCTCCAGTTCTCTACACATGTAAGGCATTTTTATTTAGGAAGAATAGGTTGATATTGACTGACACCATCCTGGCCAGAGATCAAAGGCTCTTTGTCCTGCTTCAGCCACATGTTTTTGAGAGCTGTGCATGGATAACAGTGGTACAAGAGACTGGCAGAAGAGGGGCCACCAGCCTCTGGCTTGGATGCCAGCAGGATGACTGGGTGGCTTTTGTTGAGCTGGGGCCAAAATGACCAGGCACTGGTTGGCAGGTGCACATAAAGGCTAAACTGGGATGGTTGGGTGTAAATCTGGCTCCAGCTTCCCTTTCTATGTAACCCTGGGCAGGTTACAGAACTTCTCTGATTTTCAGATTCGTCATCTGTAAAATGGGAACAGTTATAGCCCCTATGACATAGAGTTGTCATGGAGATTCAGTGACATCACATACCCAGTAGGGAAAAAAATAAATCCACAGCTTATCTGTATCCAGCCCAGGTTACAGATTTTTCTGTTCTGACTACTAACCCTTGACAAATTACAAATGGACAGAGTGCATTCTGGCTTGTTCCTTTTTACCTTGTTTGATTCATTTAATAAAAATGCTGGGATCCCTGGGTGGCGCAGCGGTTTAGCGCCTGCCTTTGCCACAGGGCGTGATCCTGGAGACCCAGGATCGAATCCCACGTCGGGCTCCCGGTGCATGGAGCCTGCTTCTCCCTCTGCCTATGTCTCTGCCTCTCTCTCTCTCTCTCTCTCTCTGGCTATCATAAATAAATAAAAAAATTTAAAAAAATACTAAATGTGTCCACCATGCGCTTTACCATGTTCCAAGTGATAAAAGAGCTAGTAAGGGGGACTTAGCCATGGTATCCAAATACAGCCAGCTCAGAGAATATTAAAAAAAAAAAAAAGCAGAGCCAAAGTTTGTTAGAGTGTCCCTCCTCTTCTCTTACTATCATCTTTTCTTGAGGGCTCTCTTTGAGGTTTCTGCCATAGTCATGCTGGTCTACCTCCTCCTAATCAGTAGATATTTAGTCTCAGGAGGACTTTAGTCACTAGTTCATATCATGGTGCAAATGACTACAAATCTCTCAAAGCAGGGACCTGCAATGACCTGCAAATGACCCATCCTGTGAAGTGGACTGAAAGGCTGTATCCAATGCATAGAAGCAAAAAGGTTCAAGGCAGAAGGGCCTAGAAAATTCATTCAGTCTGAACTCTCTCTGTTCATGGAGGGGAAATCAAGCCGGCAGAGGTAACCTTGGTCTAATCAGGATGACCTAACCAGTGGTCATGTGGCCAGGCTGAGTGAGGAGTAGAAAATGGCTCTTCCATACTCCCATGGTCTATATCATATGCATGCTAGGCATATTCTGATTAGATTGCACAGGATGCCCTAGGGAGATACAAGGCAGGATAAGAAGTGTCTCTTGCTTTCAAGAAGCCTACAGTCTGGCAGAGAACATAAACACAGGTGTTAGACTAAAAAGCCCTTTAACCCCACTGATTAGAAATGCTGCCCATTACATATCAAATTCTCCAATATGCATGAGACTGTTCTAGACTCTGTTCTGTTCTACTACTGTCTCTTCCTGCACAGCAACATGCTGTTTTAAAGACTAGCTTTATAAAATATTTTGATATCTGGTAGAGGAAGTCCTTTTTTTTTTTTAAAGAATGTCTTGGCTATTCTTGTATGGTCAGTGTTTCAGATTAACTTTTTAAAAATATTTTATTTACTTATTTGAGAGAGAGAGAGAAAGAGAGAGAGAGAGCATGGGGAGCAGGAGGGGCAGAGGGAGAAGCAGACCACTGAGCAGGGATCTGTATATGGGACTCCATCCCAGGACTCCAGGATCATGACCCAAGCTGTAAGCAGATGCCCAGTGGGCTGAGCCATGCAGGCACCCCTCAGATGAACTTTTGAATTAGCTTTTGAGTAACACAGATATTGAATCTTCTTCAGCACTCTTGTTCATGCCAGGCACTGGGCATTCAGAGGAGTCAGGCACTGAGTTCCTGCCCTTGGGAGTTCACAAAATAGCTGAGAAGTATAACCAAACAAGAAGTGTAAAGCAACAACAGGAATCTCATGCTCTGGGTAACAAGAGCCCGATGAGTGAGGAGTCCACACAGATATGACTGCTGTGAGTTCCTTTGTCCCTCCAGACTAGGAAAGTCATGGGATGCTTAACAGGGAAGGTGACATTATACTGAACTTTGATAGGTGAGCAGGAGTCTGTCAGGTACAGAAGAGGAAAAAAAAAAAAAAAAAGAAAAGCTCTATGTTGAGGAAGTCAGAGAATGCATTTTGGAGGAGACATTTTACTTGAAGGTGAGTAGGAGTTTGCCGGATTCAGAGGGTGAGATGAAGGAAGAGATTGCCTTGAGCTGGGAAAGTCACATCTCTGAAGACATTTTAGCTCATTTTAGCTGGATTTTGAGTTGGAGGAAGCAGAGAAGATGCTGGAGGAGATAATGAGGCCTTTATTAGAAAAGTAGATGACATTTGACCTGGGCTGTGAGGCATGAATGAGCAGACCACCAGAGGAGAGGAGAGGAGAGGCACCCCGAGTGGAGGTAGTCAGAGAAGGTTTCCCGGAGCAAATAGGAAACCTCGCGGCTTCCTGCCCGCTCCCTGAGATCCAAGATCCAGGCCCTAAGCTTCCCAGCGCGTAGGCGCTCGGGATTCTGAGGTGGCGGCTCCGCAGTTCCCGTTTCCCTGCGTGGGGTAGCCGCGGAGCACGCTCGGCTGCGAGGATTGAAGCTTACTCAGGTTTGCGGAGCAAGGGTGGCCGAGCTGAATGCTTTATGTCGGAATCGACCAATGGGATGGCGGCACCCGGTTGCCAGGGCGACGGAGGGGCAGAGCGGGGCGGGGCCTGGGCACCAGGGGCGGGGCCGGGGCGGGGCTTATATAAGCGGGCGGCGGGCGGCGGGCGGGGCGTGGGGTCGGTGGCTGCTGGGCGGGCGGGGCGCAGGCCGCGGGGCCCGAGCCGGGGGGAGCGGGCGAGCGGAGGCGCCGGGATCCGATTCACTCGCTGGGGAGACCTATGGGCCGAAGCCGTGTAAATGCGTTTTAAGGCGAGTGCGGGGAGTGGCTCGGGGAGCCTCCGGGAGCGGGCGCCCCCGGCTCCAGTGCTGACCGGCCCCCGGCCCCCTTGCCTCCTCCCAGCAGGGGCCTCGGCTCCGCAACTGCCACTCCTCCTCGGGGTGTTGCACAAGTTTCGAGGTCACCGGCGACCCCCCCTAGCAGCGCGCCTGGCTCTGGCCCCCGCGAAGGAGGACGGGGCTTGGTAAGGGGGTGTGGGGGGCGGGTCCTCGGCCCTGCACTCGGGCGGGCTCCCCCGGGCAGAACCTCAGCCTTCGGTTCCCGCCCGGGAGCCCGCGACCTCTACCCACCATGTGGCCCCAGGCACGCTTAGAATTCTAGCGCGTCAGAACTAGCCCCCCCCCCCCCCCGCCTTTACAAACGGTGAAACTGAGGCTCGGAGAGGGGACAGGGCGTACCCAAGGTCACGCAGCCCAGGCCGACTCGAATCTAAGCTCCTGCTCTGGGGCTGAGACTCCTTGGTGGGGCCACTTCCAGCCTCTTTTAGTTGGGCGTGGTCAAGACTGAGGGTCCACTGAAAACTTCCCCACCCGAGCTTCTTGGCTTTCCTGCTCCCACTCGTTCTTTCCCTTTTTGCTGAAACCCGAGTATCATAACTGGGAAGGAGCTTCAAAATAATCCATCCATTTTACAGATGGGGAAACTGAGGCTCGGGGAGGCAGTGACATCTAGGCATGTTATGCCTTGTCCCAGTCCAGGATTCCCGATTGTCCCCACCCTTGCCAAGGAACCCAAGCTCCCTAGGCTTGTGCTAGCAGCGGGGTGTGACAGGACTGGGCGTCCTGGCTTGGGGAGGTCAGAGGGGCTGGGGAGGGCAGCCCCTCAGCGGCCCCCTCACTTTAACCCCCTTCCTCCCCACCCCTTCAGTGTGTTGCATACTTTCTAAGGCGGCGGGGCGGCGGCTGCATCCAGGCCATCGGCTCCTCCTCCTCGGCATGGCTGGCTACTTGAGCGAAACCGACTTTGTGATGGTGGAGGAGGGCTTCAGCACCGGAGACCTGTTGGAGGAGCTCACTCTGGGGGCCTCACAGGCCACCGCGGTGAGGGGCCGGGAGTGGGGGTGGGTTCCCTGTAGAGGCCCAGCTGCCTTCTGGAAGGACTCCTCTGGCTCCCATCTCCCTTCATATTTGGCAGTCAGTCCTTGCTATTGGCCAGAGACAGGCTCATTTTACCCCCATATCCTGCCCCCAAACTTTGCCCTTTCTGCACCACTACCGTCTGCCCAGCTCTCTAGGTCAGAAACCTGGGAGTCTGGCTTCACCCCACATCATCAGGGCACCACCAAGTTCCTTATACCACCTGCCAGGGTACTCTTCTGGGTCCTGGCTTTGTAGTTCAGGCCTCATCTCTCTAGGGGCCCTGCTAATCTCCTCCCTGGCTCATCCCACTTGCTCTGACTTTATATCACAGCCATGCTGAAACTCAGAACTGTCTGACAGTTCCCCACTGCCTGCAGGGTCAAGCCAGGGCTCTGCCTTCATAGCTCCGCTCCCGGTGTGGCCCATGGTGTATCATGCTCCATCAGAGCTCAACCACAGCTGTATTTCCCAATGATGCTATGTGCTCTGTTATACCCCTTCACCCAGGCTGTTCCCTGTGCCTGGAATGCCCTTTTGCCGGCCTCTCTAGCTCTTACCTATTTCCGTCCTTCCTTATTACTCATCAGTGTCACTGTCCTCATCTCCCAGGCCAATTTTGTATTTCCGTTGTCTGTGGCCTCCACTGCATTGTGTAGAAACTCCTGTGGAGCATTTATTGACTGGGCTTGTAATTGCTTAGAGGGTTTGTTGTCTTCAAGACCCAAGCCCTTGCAGGGCTAGAGCCCTGTCTGGTCATCTCCATCCCTGAGCATGTCAGACACCAAGTGGGGTTCAGTAAAAAAAAAAAAAAAAAAAAAAAAAAAAAAGGTTGCATAAAAGGGAAACTGAGTCCCAGTGAGGGTTTAAGTAATGCTGTCTTACCCAGAGCCTTGTACATGTTTTGCCCCCAGCAAATCTGTGGTGACCAGTTGTTCACAGGCATGGGTCACAGTGGCAGTGGGACTAGCTCAAGGCTTCAGCGAGCACCTCTCTGTGAAAGGCAGTGGGCTGCAGGCCATGGCTTTGGCCTGCAAGGAATTTATCTTTTTTTCTGGGGAAGACAAATGTATATACAGTTCTGATACTTTGAAAGCATGTATAAAATGCAGTGAGGGCATTTTTTAAAAAAGATTTTATTTATTTGAGAGAGAGAGAGAGAGAGAGAGAGAGAGAGAGAGAGAACATGCATAAGTGGAGGGAGGGGGAGAAGGAGAAGCAGGCTCCCCGCTGAGCAGGAAGCCGGATGTGGGGCTCAATCTCAGGGCCCTGGGATCGTGACCTGAGCTGAAGGCAAACACTTAACTGACTGAACCACCCAGATGCCCCCAGTGAGAGCATTAAAGCCAGAGTTGCCTTATTGTTTCTGCGGAGGTAACATTTGAGGTGAGACTTGTAGGTAGATTGGGAATTTGCCAGATCCTAGTAGGGACAAGGGTATTCTGCTTGAAGGGCATGGTGGGAACAAGAGTTTGGAGCTCTTGTGCAAATGCTCCAGTGTGTAGCTGGAGCTTGAGCTGCAGCGAGGGGAGGCGCTGGAGCCAGATCACAGAACTCTGAACACGGGCTGGGGAGTTTGCCTTGGGTCCAGAGAATTTTTGAGCAAGGTAGCTTGGGTGGCCAGAGCTGGGCTTGGGGTGGGTCCCTGGGAAGACTGCAGATGGCACGCAGGAGGAGGGAGCCGAGTGGGGTCTCACACTCCCCCTTCTTGTGCAGGGTGACGTGGCTGCCTTCTTCGTGGCCGACCTCGGTGCTGTCGTGAGGAAGCACTTCTGTCTTCTGAAGTGCCTGCCACGAATCCGGCCCTTCTACACTGTCAAGTGCAACAGCAGCCCGGGTGTGCTGAAAGTCCTGGCCGAGCTGGGGCTGGGCTTCAGCTGTGCCAACAAGGTGAGCCCCTGGCCCCCGCTGGCACACTGACCCTTGTTGCCTGCTCCACACGCATGTGGCTGGGGTGCTGCCAGGGGCCCTGGAGAAGCAGGGGTGGCTTGCAGCTGGCCCCCACCCTCTGGGAAGGGCTACCCACTTGGGAGGGGGTGGAAAGGATGAACGAGGGAGAAACAAACGTAGAAGTTCTAAACGGGAACTGGAACTGTGTGTCTCTGGGGAGGTGGGTCACCTTTTTAATGATTTTCAAGCTTCTTGGCATAGAGCTATACGTGGTATTCCTCTAATTAAAACAAAACAAAAATACCTTCTTATCATTGTTTTTTTTTCTTTTATAGTTATAATAATGTGTGACAGTACATTTTCTCAGCTAATCCTTTGAGAATTCTGTGGTGTTGCCAATTTTGCTGCCTTTCTAGCTAGATTAATGCTGTTGTCTTAATTCCCCTCCTGTTCTCTCTAGACTTACTTGCCTATTTCCTATCACTCTTTATTCATTGAACTACATACAGTGTGCTAGTCAGTGTGTCACCAGGGCTGGCAATACAGTGTGGAGTAAGGCAGGCTCTGTTGTCTTGGAGTTGAGTGCTTAGATTATATATTTTCATCCTGTTCTTAGTTAATGAAAGCCTCCAAGCTATAAAGTTTCCTCAGAGTACAGCTTTGGACATACTTATTCATTCAGCAGACCTCTTTTGAGCACCTACAAGGGGGCAAGTACTATTCCGGGTGGGGATTTAGCAAGTGAACAAACAAAAACAGAAAAGGCTTTTCTTTTATGAAACTTGTTTTCTAAAAAACAAACAAGTTAAATAATGAAAATCTATATTATTTTAGATGGTCCCATGCTAGGGAGAAAGAGAAAGTGGGGAAGGGAGGTAGGGAATATTGGGAGGAAGGATTGTACTTTTATGTAGTTTGGCTTCACTGAAATTTGAATACAGACCTGAAGGAAGCAAAGGATCAAGCAGGTGGATAACTAGAAGAACATTCTAGGCAGAGGGAACAGCAAGTGCAAAGGTGAGGCAAGAGCAAACCTGGTGGGCGTTGCTTTGTGATATTGTCATTACTGTTATTTTTTTTTAAGTGATTAGTAATGATTGTTTTAAGTCCTGGACAGCAATATGGTTGGATATTGTGAGGAGGATTCTAGAAAGGTACACTGGAGGAAACAGGAGAAGAGCTAGCCTGGGCAGGCTGAGAGGGGTAGAGGGATTCTGGGTGGGAAAGAGGTGTATACCACAGTGGGATGATGAGAACAAGCAGGTTAACCTTTATCAAAGATGCTGTTAACACTCTTAGTGATAGGGTAGTCTTTCTCTTTTGTCACCTCAAAGCCCCTTGGTATTTGCTCTTGCTTTGCACACTTTGTTTCACATGTGCTTGCATAAAGCCCGTGAGATCTGTGGGGAGAGAGATTGCCATGTACAGTCCAGGAGACTGGGGGCCAACTGCACACAGCTTGCCAGTAGCAGAACCAGGATGTCCCCCTGTGGCATGCTGGGACTCTGCTCTGGGATCGGAGGAAGGGGATCCTTTTCTAGCCTTCTTGGTGTAGGGATGAAGAACAGGACCAAAACCACCTGACTAGCCCTGTGTGTCTGGAAACCCAGAGGTGGTGCACTGTGTGCTTGGCCTTCCGGCCTCAGGGCTGGTCTCCAAAGAGCAGAGTATAGGATGTTAGGGCTTAGAAAGACCTCGGAAGTCCGCAGGGACATTGAAAGCATATACTGTTGCGGAGTGCTTCTGTTGTGCCAGGCACTTTGCAGAGCGTTTTCTGTATGTGATCTCATTTATTCTCGCAACCATCCTGTGAGGTAATGATTATTACCCTGATTCTGACAACAGCTTTGTGAGGAAGCATTTAGCATACAGCAAAGGAGGCGCCGAGGGTGTGACTTGCTGGGAAGTGGCCACTTGAGTAGGGCCAGTGGCAGTGGGGTCTCCAGCTCTCTCACTGCATCTTTTCATTGTCCTTAGGGAGGGGATGGCAGAGCTGGGCCCCAGCTGGTGACGCTTGCCTTAGCAAGCCCCCAGAGCTGTGAGAGGCCCCCTGCCTGCAGGTGAGAGGATCACACTTACTGGGTCCAGGATGCACAGCTTTTCTCGAAAGGCCGAGGCTGCCCTCTTCTGGTTGGCCATCACTAGTGGCTATGCTTTAACATCACCATGACTTGGCCAACATTGACCTAGGGGGCTGGGTGTACTTATGCAATGGACAGGTCAAGGGCACAGGCCATGCTTTGCATGTCCACTCACCCTTCCAAGGACCTTATGTCACCTCCCCTGCCTGCATCCTGTCTTTTCTTGCTGTCTCTATCAGCATCCTTCCATCTTAAAAAGCCTTCCCGGGACACCATACCACTCCCCAGCCCAGTGCCAAGCTCCCTCTTCACTGCCAGAGTTGTCTACATTTGCCTGTCTGTGTGCACCTGGCTCTTTCCCTTATCTCCAGCATCTGAGGCATGCTTCCCCATTTCCACTCTCACAACTCTGAGGAATTTCTACCAACATCCCCAGGGATCTTCAGGATTCAGTAAGCACTTTATTTTAAACATTCATTTTGAATTATTCAAATAACGAATTGATTCATTCACACAAACGCGCACACATGTAGGCCATCAGCTTAATGTCTCCAGAGATAATCGCCATTATGAGTTTGAGGTTGGTGGGCATATGGTATTTTAAAAATACTTATAAATATGATCCATAGAAAATATACAAAATGTAAATGATATGTGTCGCAATGCTTTAAACTTGACAGGTGTTGGAGATCTGTCCCATGCATTTATTTATTTATTTTTTTAAAGGTTTTTTATTTATTTATTTACGATAGTCACACACAGAGAGAGAGAGGCAGAGACACAGGCAGAGGGAGAAGCAGGCTCCATGCACCGGGAGCCCGATGTGGGATTTGATCCCGGGTCTCCAGGATCGCGCCCTGGGCCAAAGGCAGGCGCCAAACCGCTGTGCCACCCAGGGATCCCTGTCCCATGCATTTAGACCTTGTCAGGGACACTCCTTGGTTCTCTTCTTATCCTGACTCTCAACATTTAACACAGTGACTGTTTGCTTTTGTGGCAAGAACAGTTAACGTGAGATCTACCCTCAATGCATTCCCCCCCCAATGCATTTTTAAGTGTACAGCACAGTATTGTTGACTATAGACACGGTTCTACAGATCTCTAGGACTTAATTCATCTTGCAGGACAGGAACTTTATACCCACTGAAGAGCAGCTCCCCATTTGTGACATATTCTTCTTAAAAACCCTCAAAGATAACCTATGCTTCTAGTTTTAAAAAACTTCAGAAGTCAATTCACTGAACAGGAGTGCTACTCTGCACCTGGCCCACCCCCACCCCTGGGCACCTGTGACAGTTGACACCCTTCTTCTGTACAGACATGAGTTGCTGTGACAAGGTTTGCTGTGACAAGAATGGATAGCCTATGTATTGTCCCCCCCCCCCTTCTGGACACGTTCTTTCTCTTCCCCTCCCTGCAGATTCTGGCTGCCTGACTTCCTTCTCTCTAAATGGGAAAGCTCCTCCGGATTCTGTTCTGTCTTGGGCTCCCTTTCTCTTGTAGACTCTCCCTCCTCTTGGGGGATTTCATATCCTCCCACGGCTGTAAATACCATCAATATGCCACCACCTCCTACGTTTTGATCTCCAGCCCAGACCTTATATATCCAGCAGCTGCCTGGATACCACAGGACGCCTGGAACCCAGTGTGTTCAAACGCACTCACGATCTTCCCCTTGGGGAAGGGCCAGCTAGCTTGCTGGGCATGGAGTCAGACAGCCCCACAGGCTATCCATCACCATGCTGGCCAGCCCTGTCCCCCAGAACACATGTCCCCCAGCTATTACCTCGCCCAAGGCGGTTGGGACCAGTCCCCCCAGAATCCTCTTGCTTCTTGCTGAGTCCTCGTTTTCATGGTAGCCAGAGCCTTATGCATTGAAACCTTGCATTTAAAGTGCAAACCTGACCTGTGCCCTTTCCCTTCTTGAAACCTTTCAGATGGATTCCCTTGACTCACAGGATAAAATAGAAATCTACATCAACCTTTTTGGGCTCCCTGTTGGCTCTGCCCACCTCCCTGCAAACTTATCTTCCTCACTGTGCTTTCCCGGCCCAGGCCATCCTGCGTTCCCTGTTCCTTGACCAGGCTGAGCACATTCTGCATCTGTAGCTCCGAACAGGCTGCTCTCTTGACCAGAAACTTCCTTCTATCCCTCTGGGCCTGGGGGAGGCCGCCTGTGGAGCTCAGCTTAACTTTCTGACTCTCAGAAAGGCTACCCTTGGCTCCTGGCACCCGGGTCCCACATCCCACACTCTCTAGTATCCTGAGCTCTTTCTTTAGGGTTCTTATGTGTTTAGAATTCCTTCATTATTTAGTGCTCATTTGTTCTTGCCTATCTTCCCCAAAGATTTCCACAGGGCCAGAGATTTTGTCTGCTTCACTTACCACTTGTTTTCTTTAGCACCAGTCACAGAGCCTGGCACCTCAATCGATTCTCAAGAAATACTTGTCAACTCAGCATCAAGGTTGAAATCTCTGTTACAGTACTGTGGTTAAGAGTTTATGTGCTAAAGTCTGACAGTCCTGGGTTAGAATCCCAGCTTTGCCACTTAAAAGCTGTGTGACTTTGGATAAGTCACTTAACCTCTCTGAGCCTCTGTTTTCTGTCTCATAAGATTATTATGAGGATTAAATAAAAATGTATATAAAATATTGAATGCAATGGCTGGCATATGGAAATCCTTCAATGAAAAACTATATTTATTACGTATTTATCATCAAAGCTAAAGCACAAGTCCCAGACTGCTACCATTGTTTCTTCCTCTTACCTCATGTGGTAAAACTGGAGGCAAAAACACATTTTTCATCTCCTTTCAGACTCACGGTCTTTGGAAGCCAGCTGTGAGGGCAGCAATTCCAGCTCTGTTCCACTCTGCTACTCACTGGCTGTGTTTCTGCAGGCAGGTGGACTTCTCCGAACTCAATTTGGTCCTCTGTAAAACGTGGCCAATAAATGCTTCACAGGACAGTCATAGGCATCACATGAGATAATGCACATAAGTACCTCATACTAAAAAGCGGCTAACTTAAAATCGGAGTCTTATTATAAACTCAGGATGGCTAAAGATAGCCCAGTGTCTCCCACAGTGTTTCAGAACCGGCTGCTTCTTGACTTCCTGCCCTCCATCCTGGAGAGTGAGACTTGAGTTTGAAAGCTGGTTCTGCCTCCTACTTACTGCACCGCCTCTCTGAGTACCAGCTTCCTTCTCTCTCAAGTGGAGCCGGTACCCCTCTGATGGGGTTATTGTAGGGAGTAGAAAAAATAGTGAATCCAGAGTGAGGCCAATGCCTGCTTTTGTTGAGTTTTATTGGATCGCAGCCATGCTCGTTTACTTATGCACTCTCTCTGGCTGCTTTTGTGTTGAGTAGTTGTCATAGAACCTATATGGTTGGGGCACCTGGGTGGCTCAGTCCGTTGGGTGTCTGGTTCTTGGTTTCAGCTCAGGCTGAGATCTTGCAGTCTTGGGATCAAGTCCTGTGTCAGTCTCCATGCTCAGTGTAGAGTATGCTTTGGCTTCTTTCTCCTTCCCCCTCTCCCCCTCTGCCCCTCTTCCTGCTCATGCACGAGTGCATGGGTGTTCTCTTTCTCTCTCTAAAAATAAATAAATTCTTAAAATAAAAAACCCTACATGGCCCACTAAGCCTAAATTATTTGCTCTCTGGCCCTTTATAGAAAAAGTTTACTAACATCTCATTTGGTGCCTGCTTGTGGTAGGTGCTCAGTGACAATGGTTGCTCTCATTGTCATCATTATCTGTACCATTCATGCAGCAATCAGGTGGAACAGTGTTCTGTAAAGGTGAGGAAGAGGAGGCCCCCTTGGGAGGTAGGGGTTGCCAGAGTCACCCAACACAGCACCGGGCACACAGCAGGCCTTGGGATGTGGGATGACCTGTCTGGTGAATGTTCCAATACATCAAGGAATATTCATTAAACATTAAATCTGTCTGGAAAATGTGTCAGATACCTATTGTTAGGGCCATCAGGACTCCATGTAATGTCTGTGTGAATTAGAAAATGTACCCCTTCCTTAAGACACTCATTATAATGAATATACTGATTTTGTGAGGCTGAGATGCTTCATTGCCAGGAAGCTGTAATAGATATATAAATCTACCATGGATTCTCTGTGAATGGGACCTCCCACCCCTCGATTGTACAGTGTACTACCTGCACAGCTGTCCGTGGCAGCCCTGCCTGTCAAAGAATGGTGAACCAACCTGAGTCCTGATTTTCACATTTTTGTTGTGTAAAAACAAGGTCCACTTTTTATGGACCTCCCCATGCATAGCTGTGACTTTGCCCTTCATTTGTGCTTCCTCAACTTCTGTGGGCCCTGGTAGGCCCTGAGCCTCCTCACCATCACCTTTGGGACCCCACAGGCAGAGATGGAGTTGGTCCAGCGTATTGGCGTCCCTGCCAGTAAGATCGTCTACGCCAACCCCTGTAAGCAAATTGCACAGATCAAGTATGCTGCCAAGCATGGGGTCCGGCTGCTGAGCTTTGACAACGAGGTGGAGCTGGCAAAGGTGGTAAAGAGCCACCCCAGTGCCAAGTAAGCTGAGAAACACTCATGGGGAGGCTGGGCTGAGTGTGAGGGCAGAGGGGGTGGGAGGAGTAGAGATGGAACAGAGGATCCTGCCCTGGACCTGGCCACAGTCACAAGAGGTTGGGGCAGACACTCCTGGACTGGACCCAGTATGCCAGGGCCTGACTGGGACAAAGGCTGAAATACCCATGACAGCCCAGACAGAGAAAAGCCGGTGGTATTATGGAGGTCAGGGTCACAGGCTGAGAGAGCAAGAGGGGTGGCCAAGACCGCTGCACAAAGGAGGTGGCATGCGAGGTGGGCCTGAGGAGTGAATAGAATTAGAGGGCACACGAACAGTACCAGAGTGAACTGCTTCAGCAAAGATTGTGTGCAAGTTGGAAACGGTGCAGGGCATTTGAGGGATGAGCAGAAATTTGGTGTGGCTGGAACATACCATGTGGGAGGAGGTGAGGGCAACAATGAATGCTGGTTGGTCACGGTCACAGGGCAGGGACCTGATGTAACTGGGCTTTGGCAGGGTTGGGGCCAGACGTTTTGCTCCGGTGGTGGCTCTCACATGGTCGTTTGACACCATGGGGATTCCGGGGAGGACCTCCCTGGGGTGATGGGGAGGTCAGGTGGTGGACCACTCTGGTTCACCCAAAGCAGCTTCCATTTTGTCTGTTTTATATGATATTGGGGTTCTCAATAAGACTGTGTTTAAAAAATGGTTCCCCTCATACAAGAAAAGTTGGAAAAGCCTGGCTGGTGTAGAGGCTGATTCGGAGGAAGTGGAGCTGCCGGGGAGAACTGGTGAGGTTGGGACCAGGGCAGGGGCCGCGGGGATGGGCCCAGGGCGTTTAGGGAAATGGATTGGATGGGCCTTGGAGGCTGACCGGCAGTACAGGGACAGGAAGGGGTCAGGGGCCTGTGTTGGGGGTGGCGGCTCTTAGTTTACACCCCTTTTCTCAGGACGTGATTGGGGTGGGGGGGGTGGGGTCCACCCGGCAGAGGTGCGCTGCATGTCTCCTCAGGATGGTTCTGTGCATTGCTACTGATGACTCTCACTCCCTGAGCCACCTGAGCTTCAAGTTTGGAGCATCGCTGAAATCCTGCAGACACCTGCTTGAAAATGCCAAGAGGAGCCACGTGGAGGTGGTGGGGGTGAGGTGAGTGCCCAGAAGCCCCATCCTCCCTGCCAGGCCCACTGCCTCTTTCCCTAGGAATTAATCAATTCTCTATGAGAGCTTCCTCGGGGCCTCCAAGGAGGGCCTGTTTCCAGGCCTAGAATCCTGCCATTGGAGAGTCGTCTCTCTTTGGAAAGAAGGTTCAGAGTGTTCCACTGCCTTGCTTCGCAGGAGTTACACCAGCCTGTAGGCCAAAGGTTGTGCAGCCACACCTTTGCTCTGCCTCTTTTCTTGCAAGGATATGAAAGAAGTCATGATAATGACCTAATAGTATAGCTTTCATTTATTCTGTGCCTCAGATATGCCAGACACTGTGCTAAATGCTTCAGGTACATTATCCCACAGCCTTGTGGGGTCTTATCTCCACTTTCTAAATGGGAAAACTAAAGCACAGGCCGCAGTGCTGATTGAGAGGTACATACAGACCTGGCTGACTCTGGGGCCCTGGTCCTCATCCCAGAGGGCTCAGCCCTAGTGGCAGCATGAAGGGATGGGAGGGATACCAAGTACCAAGGGACCTTGGATCTAGTCTCTTGTTCACTCCTCACTTGCCATGTGACCCTTGGTGATGCATTTAACTTCTAGGGCCCTCAGTTGCTACATCTGTAGAATGGGCACAATGTCCAGTGTGCCTATCCAAGGCTGCCCCTGGCTGGGGCTGAGGCAGTGGCATCTGGGGCCCCACAAGTAAGTCGAAGCTCTCCCTCCCTTCCCAGTTTTCATGTTGGCAGTGGCTGTCCTGACCTTCACGCCTATACTCAGTCCATCGCAGATGCCCGTCTTGTGTTTGAAATGGGCGCTGAGCTGGGCCACAGGATGCACATCCTGGACGTTGGTGGTGGCTTCCCTGGATTGGAGGGGGCCAAAGTGAGATTTGAAGAGGTAACCCTGGGGTCAGAAGTGTGGTACTGGGCTGGGTGGGAGGTAGAGCTGGCATATCCGGCACTGTGAGCGGGTCCTCAGTGCTGAGTGCTGTGCTTGGTGCTTTACTGGATTATTAGCCCCGTGTTACATACAGCTGGGCAAGCCAAGGCTCCTCGAGGTATGTCACTTTCTGAGTCTACGGCAGAGCTGGCTGTAGACAGCTTTCTCTGACTCTGGTCCAAGCACATATTTGAAGCTTAACCAGGCCTATTTTCATAAGCCTGGGAACCCTCGGAAGGCCTGGCACTCTCCATTCTCCCTCTGGTGAGCTGATGAGAAATCAAACGGGAGGGCAAGGGAAAGAAAAGCCCACCTGTCTATTTTCATCCGAGATGAAATCAAGAAAAATATGTCACCGCAATCTCCACTCCAACCACTAGGGGACGCCTCTCCCTAGTAAGAGCCAAGTCCTGGAATATCCGCAATTTGGGACTGGCCTAAGAAAATAATCCCTGAAGGACTCAGAGTTAGCCTCAAAGATGAGCATAACAAGAGCCCAGTGGACTTTTCCTAGCACTCGGGAATTGGTTAAATTATAGTACATTCGTATGACCTCCATGTGAGGTCATTCACAGAGTCTTGAGTAAAACCGGTTACAGAACGTTTATATAGCCCTATCATGTTAATAATAAAAAATAGTGTTTGTATAGAAGAAGAATTAAAGGAGTCACTCCAAAAAGTTAACAATGATTACCAATCTGGATGACAGAATTAGGGTAATTTTGATCTTCAATCTTCTCTGTATTTTCTGTGAAAAATATGTCATTTAACAGATTGGACATTGATGAAAGAAAAATCTACATCAGGGCTTCTGGAACCCGAGTACCAAGTGTTACGTTAAGAACACCTCTTCCCGGGGATCCCTGGGTGGCGCAGCGGTTTGGCGCCTGCCTTTGGCCCAGGGTGCGATCCTGGAGTCCCGGGATCGAATCCCACGTCGGGCTCCTGGTGCATGGAGCCTGCTTCTCCCTCTGCCTATGTCTCTGCCTCTCTCTCTCTCTCTCTCTCTCTCTGTGTGTGTGACTATCATAAATAAATTAAAAAAAAAAAAAGGAACACCTCTTCCCATTGTGGGGGCCTTGAGGAAGGTGATTTACACAAGCATAAGGGTCTTGACCCAGCTCTATCTGGCTCCTCCCTTCCTGGCTAACTGCTGCCACCAGCTGGGGCCTTAGCAGGTGCCAAGTCCTTCTCTCTGAAATCAAAGAAGCTTTCAAGAAATAGACTTGGAGCTATAGCAAGTCCTCAGAATGTAAACCCTACATTTCAAACAAGTCATTGTCCTCCATCCCTGTCCTACCAGATTGCTACTGTGATCAACTCAGCCTTGGACCTGTACTTCCCAGAGGGCTGTGGTGTGGACATCCTTGCCAGGCTGGGGCGCTACTATGTGACTTCGGCCTTCACTTTGGCAGTCAGCATCATTGCCAAGAAGGAGGTTCTTCTAGACCAGCCTGGAAGGGAGGGTAGGTAACATGTGGGCAACAGAGCCCCATTTTTCCCCCTTGAAGCTAAGGACAGTGGACTGGCTGAGCAAGGCCTGGTTTTAGGGGATGGGGAATCTGGAGGGTGGATTGTTGCTTTAGAGAAACTTACAACCAAGTTCCCTCACCCCCAAGACAACTTGTGTAGTGCAACTTTTTCTATGCATATTTCTATTTTATGAAGATTGAGATAAAAACAACCTTAGGGAGAGCAGATACTTTATTAACCCATAGTACAGATGAGAAAATTGAGAGCCAAAGAGAATGCAAGTGAATTGCTTAATAATAAAAAGTAAAGCCTGCATTCGACCCCATGTCTGTCTCCTCTCCAAAGCACAGGCTCTTACTCATCCTATTGCTTCTCATAACATAATGAAAATAATTAATGACAACTTCTATTCGTCTAAGCCTACTTTATAGATGACAGAATATAGGCATGGAGAGGCTGAGTCACTAGCCCAAAGTCACACAGCTGGTAAGGGGCAGTACCTGGATTCAATTTTAGGCTGGGCTGACTCAGGGTTCTCTGCCCACGCTGCAACATCAGCGCTCATCCCTGCCCTTCCAGATAGATCAGCCCCTTGAGTGAGGAGTGGGGCAGGAGTTCTGATCTTGGGGCTTTGCCTTTTGTTCCAAGATCTCAGGCAGGAGAGCTGAGGTCTGTGTGTCTTCCCCTAAGAATCCATTTGGAGGGATGATGGGCTCCAGGTAGTTAGAATGTCTGGTGTGTGTGTGTGTGTGTGTGTGTGTGTGTGTGTGTGTGTGTGTGTGTGTAGATGATGTTCTTCTGGCTTCCTTTATAAATCTGGGCAATACTATATCTAGACCAGCCAGGAGACCTGGTTTCTCATTTCAGCTCAGGCACTGTCCCATTGTGTGCCTCTGAACGAGTGGCTTACCCTCTTGGGACATCGAGTTTGGGGAGGAATGTTCTGTTGCCTTGGCAGGCAGGATGTATGTCCTGGGCAGGGCCGCTCAGCTGCAGGGGTGAGTGTGCTCCACATGAACCTCATGTCCTGGGGGCAGCAGGACCAACCCCATAGTTGAGAAAGGGGCAGCCTTTTTTGCTTTAGTTACCCGTCATCCTTGCTGAGCTGACCATTGTGCCAGCTCCCCACTCCTTCACGTGGCTGCTTGTGCTGCCCCTGACCACTCCCCCCCCCCCCACAGAGGAAACCGGTTCCACCCCCAAGACCATCGTGTACCACCTCGGTGAGGGCGTGTATGGAATCTTCAACTCGGTCCTGTTTGACAACACCTGCCCCACCCCCATCCTGCAGAAGGTAAGCCTACCCCCACCCACGGGCCTCTTTTCAATTATGGGTGTGGGGGTGGGTGTTTAAAATCACATGCTGGTTTTTTTTTTTAAGATTTTATTTATTTATTCATGAGAATACACAGAGAGGATTGAGAGAGAGAGGTAGAGACACAGGCAGAGGGAGAAGCAGTCTCCATGTAGGGAGCCCGATGTGGGACTCGATCCTGAGTCCCCAGTATCACGCCCTGGGCTGAAGGCGGCGCTAAACCGCTGAGCCACCCAGGCTGCCCTACTGGGGGTGTTTTTATCTAGTTTTGAAAAAGTAAAAACAGTCATTGTAGAAAATAGCGGGATGATGAGGATCACCCGTAGTCCCACCTTGTGGAGAGAGATCCTTTGAACATTAGATTTCTTTTCAGTCCTTAAAAAATGTATTCTGTTTTCAAAAAATAAAGTTGGACTGTGTTTTGTAACTGCTTTTTTCCCACTCAATATGAGGTATAGCTCCTTCCATGCCATTAGCTAACCTTTGACAATATACTTTTTGAGGACTACATAGTATTTTAACCCATCTAACCCTACTTGGTTTGGTTTCCTGTTTTGCTCTATCTTGACATCTGTCTCCGATCAAGCCCTGGAGTGAATTTCTAGAAGTAAAACGAAGCAGTTCATCTTTCATGGTTTTTTTCCAGGTCAACAAGGGAACAGGAGTGGCCAAAGAGGGGAAAGAAAATCAGACACCCTGTTGTATTTTCAGATCTCCAGGTCTTTGTCTCTGTGGCTCCCTTTCTGGAGGGAGCCTCAGTGTCTCACCAGCCCCTGGACTATTATTCACACTCAGTGTATTTTTGTTTTCCTCTCTCTTTCCACCCTGTCTAGTTTTTCAAGACCCACTCAAATGTCAGCTCCTCCTTGTAGCTCTTCTGCTCTTCCTGCCCTTTATCTCTCACAGGCAGAAGGAGCACTCCTGCCCCAGGTGCCCATGCCACAACTTGATTATATCCTCCTTCCACCGCAGGGTTGTGAAATGTGGTTTCCTTTGGCTAATGGGAGTAAGCCTCCTTGATGTGTGCAGGAATTTAGTTTTCCATCCACTGCCATGCGCTAGCCCTGCCTGCATTCTTGTGGTTTCCCACGTTCTACTGCACCAAGAAAGGACCAGGCGCCCCAGGGCACACAGCAGGCAGTGGCTGCTTCCCAGGTCCTGCCCCCCTCCATACCCTCTTGGCCTGCCGTTGGAATTCCTGACCTGCTCCCCACTTGGGTGAGCAGGACTATGGGCCCAGCCCAACCCCTATCCACAGTCTCCATTCTGATTCATCTCCAGTCAGTATTCCTGCCTTGGGCAGTGAGATATTACTGACCCTCTTTGTGGTCAGCCCTATTCCTCCTCTGGATGATGTTGAAGTTTCTTCCTTTGGTCTGTCAACCACTTACTGGGTCTAGCCATGTGACCAGATCCAGGGTGGATCCCCAGTCTGGTGGTGGAGACAGATGACAGCAGACGGAATAAATTAGCTAGGGTTGTATTGGGAGTGTGTCAGAGGCACCCAGCCTGGCGGGTGGGGACAGGTGGGGGCGGGTGGGGGCGGGTGGGGGAAGGCATCTGCACCTTCTTCCCCAAGGAAGGTCCCCTTCACAAGTCTTGATGGCAGCTTTGAAACCCTGCTCTTCATCCCCAGGACTTTGTGTTTGGACCTCAGGCCCAGAAAGTTATGTTAAACATAATCAATCCTTGGTTCAGAGTATACTTCTTATTGCTGGAGCTTGCTTGGCTCCTTTTTTGTTTGTTTTCTTTCTTTTAAAAAATTTAATAAATATTTGAGTACTCTCAGTATGCAAAGCACTATGCTGAGGCCTGCACAGGACAGTAGGTGGTGAAACAGAACTGACTACGCTTTGGAAATACAGTCCTGCTGGGTAAAGGTGTGCATGTGTGATCAGTACACGGACTGTAACAGTGTCATAAGAAAAAGCACAGAAAACTACAGAACAAGTGTTAGTGGAATTTTTGCAAAAATCTTCTAGTATATATCTTTAAAAGGAAAGGACTTTAGAAAAATATAATACCATTATCAAATTAAAAATAAACAATTGCATAGCAGCTACCATCATCCTGCCTCATAAATGGTTTTTCTAGTTGATTTGCTGAAATCAGTAGCCAAAAAAAGGTCCACTTACTGCATTTGGTCAATTGTTTCTCTTTTAACCTATTGGTTTCCTGAAACTCTTTTTTTTTTTTTTTTAATTATTTGTTGATGAAATGGAGTTGTCAGTCCTAAAGCTTCCTGCATTCTGGATTTTCCTGATTGGTGGGTTCCCTGGATTTCCCTTCGGTGCTATGGAATATGTTACTCCATGCTCTGTATTTCTTTGAAACTAGGTAGTTAGATTTCATGGTTTCAGTGGATTCCCAATTAGTTTTGGGATAAAGATGTTTCATGGGAGGACTTGTCTTTGCTTTCTTTTTAGTGAAATAAGCATTCTTATCATTTTACTGCCTCATTCTTTTGTGTCTTCCCATGCAAAGTACCCACTGTTTTGACTCATGTATTACCTTTTTTTTACACAGGTTTTTTTTTTTTCAAGATTTTATTTATTTATTCATGAGAGACAGAGAGAGAGAGAGAGAGAGGCAGAGACACAGGCAGAGGGAGAAGCAGGCTCCATGCAGAGAGCCTGATGTGGGACTTGATCCCGGGACTCCAGGATCACGCCCTGGGCCGAAGGCAGGCGGTAAACCGCTGAGCCACCTGGGGATCCCCTCTTTTTTTTAATATCAGTTTTTCTTCTATTGTGGTAAGAGCATTTAATGTAAGATCTACTCTTGTAACAGATGTTTAAGTGTATGATCCAGTACTGTTATCTATAGGCACACTGTGGTTCAGCAGATCTCTAAGAACTTGTTCATCTTGTGGAGCTGAATCATGTCCGTTGATTATCAACTTCCCATTTCCCCCTCCCATCAACCCCTGGCACCCACACTTCTATTCTTTGTTCTATGAGTTTGATTATTAGACACCTCATATAAATACAAGCATGCAGTATTTGTCTTCATTTCAGTTAGCATAATTTCCTCAACATTCATTTACACTGTTGCATGTTGCAATCTTTGATAAGGTTGATAATATTCCATTGTATGTAGATACAGCATTTTTTTAATCCATTCATCCATCCAGGGACATTTAGGTCTTGGCAGCTGTTCATAGAGCTGCGATGAACACAGGACTGCTAATACCTCTTAGAGATCCTGATTTCAATTTTTTTTTTTTTTGGATAAATACCCAGAAGTAGGATTGCTGGATCACATTTAATTTTTTGAGGAACCACCATTCTGTTTTCCATAGTGACCGAATCATTTTGCATTCCCACTGGCAGTGCACCAGGGTTCCGATTTTTCCACAACATTGTCAACCCTGGCCATCTTTTCTTTTTTGAGAATAGCCATCCCAACAGGTGGGAGGTGACATTTCACTGTGGTTTGGATTTGTATTTCTTATTTGATTAATGATGTTAAGCCTCTTTTCATGTGCTTGTTCACCATTCGTATGTCTTCTTTCATGTAGTTTTGGCACATTAAAGTTTATTCCTAAATGTATTTATAATTTGTTTTTTTACTTTACAAAAAGGATGTTACGGTGTATGTAACCTTTTGGAACTGTTTAAAAAAATGTACTGCACAGTCTAAGATGCATCACCGCTGCTGTATGTGCTTTAGATCCGTCCCTTTGACTGCTGGTTTACACTGTTGGCAAGCACGCTGCAGCTAATCTGTCTGCTGTCCTCTCAAGGCACTAGGTTGTTTCTAGGTCTTCCCTACTGTGAAATCTGCCACTCCGAATGTTCTTATTTGTGCCTCTGTGACACAAGAGCAAGGGGTGGAATCACTGGGCATAGCTAGGACACATGAATGTTCAGCTTTCAGAAGACAGTGCCAGATGGTTTTCCAGAGCAGTTGTACTACTTGATGATCCCACCAGCAGTATCTAAGAGACTGGATGGATCTACATTTTCCCTAACACTTGGTCTTGTCAGACTTTCAACATTTGAATGGATGTGAAATGGTTTCTCCTGTCTTGATTTGCATGCTCCTGATTACTAATGAAGTCGGATATTCCTTTGTATATTTATTGGACACACATATTTCCTCTTCTTTCAGAGGCTTTGTAACCTTCTCTTCAGTTACTGCCCTTTGTATCTGAGCCTCTCTACCCAGCGGCCTGCACTCACTGCCCCTGCTCCCTCAGCTTTCATTCCCTCTTAAAACCTTCCTAATGGGACATTAATTGCACAGCTATAAAGAAGATGCTCTTCAAAGTTCCTTGCATGCGGCTAGCCCAATGGTGGCACCTCTGTCTTCAGCAGCTGATCTTTCTCCAACTTCATGCTCTTGGCCTTGCCTCTTCCTCTGTCATTCTCACCTTGTCTCTCTAGCATGTTCCCCATTGCTCACCCCCTGAATGTTGACTCTCAGATCTCCATTCTCGAGCCTCTTCTCTGCCTACAAGCATTTCCTAGGTGAGTTCTTCCAGCCTGAAGTTTTCAATATCATCTATAGTCTCATCATTTTCAAATTTATATCTCTAGTCTGCACTGTCCTCCCAAGCTCCAGACTCCTGTATCCACTGACCCACTTGCTATTTCTACTGGGTGTCTTACAGGCACTCAAATTTATCTTGTTCAGAACTGAACTCTTGATTTCCAACCTAAACTTCTTCCTTCCCACAATTTTCTCTCAGTACAGCACAGCCACCCATCCAGCTGTTCAAGCTGTAGTACTTTGGTATTATCCTCGATTCTTGCTTCCTTCTCTCCCCTCAGGCTGTTCACCTGCAGTTTTTCAGTCTAATTCCAGAATATACTTGGAATGCATCTGATTTCTTCCCTGCCACCAGGGCAGAGTGCAAGCTGCCATCATCCCTTCCTGGGCCAGTGTAGCAACCATTAACTAATCTTCTTGCCCTGATTCCTGCCTTCTTGCTATTATTTTCCACCCTGTTGACAAAGTGATTTGTTAAATACCCAAAGATCATATCTCTCCTCTGCTTAAAACTTTCAGTGGCTCCCTGTTACTCTTAGAATAGAACCTAAACTTCTTACCCTGGCTTGCAAGGCTTCTGCCCACATCTTTAGCAACATCTATCCCCACTGAGCCCCTCACTCACCTGCTCCAGTCCCAGTAACCTCCTTTCTGCTCCTGGACCACCTAAGCTCCTTCAGACCTAGGGACCATTGTATTCACCTGACGAAATGCTCTTCCCCTTGCTCCTGAAATGATCTCCTTATTCTCGTCTGGTATGTCTCAGGTTGGATGTTACCTCTCCAGGGAAACCATTCCTGATTACTCTCTCTAAAGTGGGCTTGCTTCTCCCTATCAGATAATTTTGTTACCTTGCTGATTTTCTTCATAATATGTCAGAATCTGAAGTTATTCTTATTTGGTTTTGTTTCCTTGCTTATAACCTGCCCTCCCCACTAGCATGCAGGCTCTGTGAGGGCAGCCACTTAGCCTGCCTGTTCCCTCTGAATTCCCAGGATCAGCACAGTGCCTGGTACACTATAGGTATTCGATAACTACTTGTTGAATGTATGATGAATGAATAGATCTCCCAATAAGCTATGAGCCCCTTGAGGACAGAGATTGTTTCCCCAGTGCAAGACCTGGCACATAGTAGGTGCTGTATGTTGGAATTGAATCAATCTTTAAAAATTACAGGAGCAACCCAAAATTTAAAGGAACAAAGGAGGGAGGAGCTCTGCAATGCAATTTATCTATAATGTCAACCCCTTTTTCACCAGACACACCGAATGGCATGTGGCTGTGAACCTCACATTCACTGGTGGCTGGTGAAGCCACCATGCACTTATTGCAGCATGTCCTGTTCTAAGCACTTTACATGGCATTACTCAATCTTTATGATAATCCTATACGTGGATACTGTTACGAGACCCATTTTACAGATGAGAAAACTGAGGCACGGGGCTGACGCAACTTGCTCAAAGTGTACAGCTAACAAAGGGTAGAATTTTTTTTTTTTTTAAAGGGTAGAATTTTTTAACTGCAGACTGTGAACTGCTTGGGGTAGGGTGCATGACTTACTTGTCTTTGATTACCTGGGTGTTGCCAGAGAACAGGCTCTTAACTACTTTCCTGTAAAATTATTGACTCCAGATAAAATCTTCCTATTACTGGGCATTTGGACGTGGCTAATTTTTTTAAAAAAGATTTATTTGTTTATTGGAGAGCGAGAGAGTGAGTGTGTGAGCACGCGGGAGGGGCAAAGGGAGAAGGGAAGCAGACTCCCTGCTGAGTGCGGGGCTCAGTCCCACGACCCTGAGATCATGACCTGAGCTGAAACCAAGAGTTGGATACTCAACTGACTGAGTCACCCAGGCACCCTGGACATTGGTAGTTGTTGCTTATTGTTCATTCATGTGTTTGTGAGAACTACCTCTGTCTAGAATGCTCTTTGTTAGTGTCTTTGTGTGACTGGCTCAAGTTACACACTGAAGGTGGATTCCCTTTAAAAAAAACTGTTTTCTGGGCAGCCCGGGTGGCGCAGCGGTTTAGTGCCGCCTTTGGCCTGGGATGTGATCCTGGAGCCTGGGATCGAGTCCCACATCCAGTCCCACATCCAGTCCCACATCCAGTCCCACATTGAGTCCCACATTGGGCTCCCTGCATGGAGGCTGCCTTTCTCTCTGCCTGTGTCTCTACCTCTCTCTCTCTCTCTCTCTCTCTCTCTGTTTCTCATGAATAAAAAATTAAAAAAAAAACCTGTTTTCTTATGATGAGTCCCTAAAATAGGATTACCAGGTAAAAAGTTATGAGCATTTTCAGGTCTCTTGATACATATTGCCAGATTGTTTTCCTCAAAGTTTGGCCCAATCTATACTGTTAGCAGCAGGCTCATTTCATAAAAAGCTCACTAGCAGTGCATGTTGTGACTTTTTCTTGTTGGCTATTTTATCTGAAATGGTATATATCTCAGTATTTCTTTCATTTCTGTCTTTTTGACAGGTATAAAGCATTTTATTTGTTGTTTTATTTTTTATGTCAATATCTTTTTATATCCTCCATTTACCTAATTTGGAATTTCTCTTACAAACGAAGATGAGCTTGTATATGCATGTGTGTGTGTGTATGTGTGTGTGTGTATTTCATGTAATATTTGACACAAATAGTTTTTTTCCTCAGTCTGTTGGTTTTAGTTTTGTGATTCTTTGTTATTCTTTCATAGAAGTTTCAACATACTATCATGTGTCTTAACTAAGTGCACTGCCATTAATAGGGAATTTGTCCCTCTACCTTTTGTGCCCTGCAAGCTATAGATTACCTTTATTTTATACATATTTTTTTTGTAGAAATAGAATGTGTAGTGCTGGCTTTGGTGGCATATATACTAAAATTGGAACGATACAGAGAAGATTAGCACGGCCTTCGTGCAAGGATGACACGCAAATTTGTGAAGTGTCCCATAAATTAGAGAGAGAGAGAGAAAAAATGTTTATTAGGGAAAATCCAGTGCAAACGGCCATATAAAGTGATCCTTTAAGCCCACCATTCAGAGATGATTATTGTTAAAATTTACTTTGATTCTTTTTCTTTTTTTAGTGTAAATACACATTATTTTTTAACTTTGAATAAAACATATTTTGGAAAGTATGGTTTTCTTTAAATGCTGATATGTTACGTGGACTTTTTTTTTAAGATTTTATTGATTTATTCATGAGAGACACAGAGAGAGAGAGAGAGGCAGAGACACAGGCAGAGGGAGAAGCAGGCTCCATGCAGGGAGCCTGACGTGGGACTCGATCTTGGGACTCCAGGATGACACCCTGGGCCGAAGGCAGGCGCTAAACCGCTGAGCCACCTAGGGATCCCCAGGTGGATTTTTTAATGTATAAACATTTTAAATGTTCATGGAGTGGTCTAAAATGACATATATTTAGGGTTAAAGATACAATTTAGTAACTATGTACTGGCATTTTATTTTTATTATTATTATTTTTTAATATTTTATTTATTTATTCATGAGAGACACAGAGAGAGAGGCAGAGACACAGGCAGAGGGAGAAGCAGGCCCCATGCAGGGAGCCCAATATGGGACCCGATCCCAGGTCTCTAGGATCACGCCCTGGGCCAAAGGCAGGCACTAAACTGCTGAGCCACCCAGGGATCCCCAGTACTGGCATTTTATAAATGCAAGGTATAGTTGGGTGTAGGAAGGGACCCAGAGGGGGCAGGTACCACAGGAGTTTTATAAGAATCTTGGGACCCCAAATCCAGGGCACAAGCCTCAGTCACTCCACTCTGTCTGGAGACCCTCTCTCTGACAGGATTGGGCTTTCTTAACTCGCCTATTGTGTTTTATTCTAGTGATTTATGGTTATGAAGCGTGACTCTGTCTTGAGTGTGCTGCAATAGCATTGTTAAATGTGGATCTGGCTAGTTTTTGTCTTAAAAATTCTTGTTATGATTTCAACTGCTTTTTTGTTTTATTACTGCTTTGCCATACTGTACAGTAATTTTATTTTTTTCATCTCTTGTCTTTATCCTGTTTTTTGATAGTTTGTTTTCTTTGTTCAGCCTATTCCATAGTGTTTTCGCAATAGCTTTGTGTTGTGTTTAGAAAACCAGTAGGGTGCCTTCTATTTCCAGCAATGTGGCAGTCTAGATACTCTGAACAGCCTCCCCACTGACAACAAAGAAAACTGTATCCTGACTTACAAGAAAGCAGGGGATCCTTCAGAGGTCAAAATTAAGTGAAAGCAGGCATCTCCACTTTGAGTAAAAGCCAGCCTATTCTCCACCCACTAGCCAGAGGAATTCTTTTAAAATGTAAGTCAAATCATGTCTAGCTTTATTAAAATTGCCTGAAACCCTGCCCTGGCTCCTGTCTCACTCCAAATTAAAGCAAAAGTCTTCCAGGGGCTTCTAAGACCCTTTGTGATCTGCCCCTGTCTCCTCTCTGATCCCCTCCCTCACTACTTTCCCTCTTGCCCATCCTATCACAATCATGGCAGCCTCTCTGCAGTTCCTCGTGGAACAGTTCCTCATGGCATGTCCCTGCTTTAGTATCTTTGCACCAGCTTTTCCTTCTTCCTGGATCGCCTTTCTTCCAGGTACCACACAGGCTCATTCCTTTACCTCCTGCATCTTTGCCTGAGGTCATCTTTTCAGTGAGGCCTTATACTTTCCTTAATACTGCCACCTGCCCTTCCCCTTGCTCTGTGCTTTCTTTTATTCAGTACCATTTATTATCTCTTAATTTACTTCTTTATTTTGTTGTTTGCCTCACTCCTGCTGGACTGTAAACACAATGAGAAGAAGGACTTTGTCTTTTTTTCACTAGTGTGTCCCAAGCATGTAAAATAGTGGCTATTCAAATATGTATTAAATGAATTCATTAACCCAGAGAGAAAACCCAACTTTGAAACTGGCTTTCTCTCTGGGAGTGTATGCTGAACCCTTGGGGTGTTGGTCTTTGGTTTTGATAGCTGCATGGGTTCCTAAGGGACTCAGTCGGGATGGACAATCTGATAGAATCCCTCGCATAAAGCTGAGAACCTGAAAAAAGTACATAATCATCAGTGTAAGGGTAAACCAGAAAAACACCTATCCTACAGAGGAGGACAGCAAAAAGACATTTTTTGAATCTTGGTAGTGGTTGGAAGAAGATACAAAATTGATATTTTAGAGCCATAAGCTAGCCTTTTTTTTGGCTTTGTTGCCCAAATTCATATTCAGACAACTGTGTTGTATGAAAAACGTCAAGGCTAGAATTTACTTTACCTTTCAGAAGCAAACACAATGTCTCTCTGGAGTAGAAATCTTTAGCCTAGGCTTTTAAGAATTCTCACAAGTGCCAAAGTACATGAGCTTGCAGTCAAAAAATTGCAAAACACAAACACCGTGAGGGAAAACCAGCAGAATAGACAACAGAACCAGACCTGCAATTATTTCATGTATTAGAATTATCAGATGTTAAAACAGAATGTTTATAATGTTTAAAGAAATAAGAAATTTAAAATGTGACCACTGTTATCAAGAGGTACTTGATCACAGGGTAGTTCATGTGGTTAGGCCTCCAATTTTTGATTTTGACTCAGGTCATGATTTCAGGGTCATGAGATCAGCTCTGCCTTGAGCTCTGTATCGGGCCCTACACTGGTGTGGAGCCTGCTTAAGATTCTCTCTCTCCCTCTCCTTCTGCCCCACCACAACTGGATCTCAGGGGTAGTCTGCTGCTGAGTGGAGGAGAAGCTTGCTGGAGGGCATGGGCCAAGGCTGAACTGTGAGGACCACTGAGGTGAAGGCTACCAGACCCTTGTACACTGAGCCATAGGGACTACACAGAACACAGTATGATGAAAGAGTGAAAGTCTCTTTTTCCTGATCTGTCCTTGTAGTATCTTTCCAGCAATCTCTGTTGACAAAACTTAACATAGAGCTACCTGGCAAGGGTTCAGCTCCAGTACCACAAAGCAAGGCAAAGAAAGGTGAATTGGGAGCTGAGAGGCAATAAGTTAGTAACTGGCAGAGAGTCAATAGAATGGAAGAGAGGAAGACCTGTTTTCAGATTTAGGAAATCCAATGAATCCCACACATAGGCAACATATTAATGAAACTGAATACTGAAGACAAAGAGAAGATCTTAAAACTAGTGATAGAAATGAGACAGATAGAAGACTACCTATAGAAGAATGACATACTTAAAGCTTTTCTCCCATAATAATGAAGGTAGGAGATATTAGAATAGCAGCTTTAATATATCAACCTAGAATTTTGTATCCAGCAAAATTGTTTTTCCAGAATGAGTATGAAATGTAGGCATTTTCAGACAAGCAAATACTGAGAATAGATCTTCACTAATGAAAGTTCTAAAGGATATATTTCAGGCATAAGGAAAATGATTCCAGATGGATGGTCTGAGTTGCAAGAAGGAATGGTGACCAAAGATAGCTTAATATGAGGGTTTATCCAAAGGATCACTGACTGTCACCACCACTACCATCACCAATAATATTTTTGGGGTTAAAAACAGTTTTCAGTTATGATTAGGCTCTGCTGTGAGTAGCAGATCCCAAGTTACCTGACTTGAACAAGTTATAGAGGCTTATATCACTCTCATGTAAATGTCTGGATGTAGGCAATTCGGAGCTGGTTTGGTGGTTTAAGCATATTGCTTCCAGTTGTACCTATTTCTAGGTGTCATCATCTTGCTGGGGCTAAGATCTTAGTCCCATGGCCATGAATACCTGTAAGGAATGTTAGCAAACATGGTCTTTCTAGGTGGTCCTGTGTCTAGCAAAAATTGAGGATTGGAAGTGTTGGTGTAGTCAATTAGCAGCCTCTGCCACAAATAAGATAAACTAAAACACTGGACAGCAATAGAATATAAGTTGGGAAGTAAAGGAACCAAGTTGGTGTTCTAAGGTTTTTAACTGAGAGGAAGATATTGGTTAATTTTAGACTTTAAGTTAGGCATGCATGTTAAAATGTAAATGTTTAGAATAACCATAAAATAATAAATATAGATAACATAATGGATAATAGATTATACACAATAAAAAAATATATAAATAGATAATATAACTGCCAACATTGAAGGTAGTTGAAATGGTTTAGTTTGGACACCATCATAAAAAAATAGACAAAATAGTTGAGACCACAGGAAAACCCAATATATATCTGGAAACTTGTTTTTTCGACAAGGCTTGAAAAGCAGATCACTGAGGATAGTTTAATATATGGTGCTGGGACATCTGATTGTCTATATGCAAAAAATGAAGTTGAATTCCTATCTCAATGCACACATGAATATAAATCCCAGGAATCCATATAGGAGAATATCAGTTTAACCTTGAAACAGGGAAGAACAGTGAAGAATCTCTTAGAAACCAGAAAACGAAATAACTGATGTTTGTCTAAATTAAAACAAAGAAAGAAAAAAATTAATTAATTAAAACAAAGAGCTTCTGTTCATCTGTCAGCAAAAGGAAAGAGGCAATCACACCCTAGGAGAAAATATGGAAACATATATACAACTGGATAAGAGATCAGTACACAGAACATATGAAGGATTCTTACATAAGAATCTTAAGAAAATAATAAGAAAAGCAATACAAAATAGAAATCAATAGAGAGATATAGACAAAATACATTAACAGAGGAGGAAATCCAAATAGAAAAATGACAAACTGCCCAACCTCGTTGATAATCAAGGAAACATGAACTCAAATGAAAAGGAGACACCATTTTCTACTGACTAGATTAGAAAAAAATTAAAGGCATGACAATATCAAGAGTTGGTAAGGGTATAGAGTAGTAGGATCTCTTAGACATTGACAGGTAGGAGTTGGTATTTCTATTTTGAGAAACAAGTTGTCACTACTCAGATAAAGTGAGACATGTGTGTAACCCTACCTTCCAGCAAGTTCTTAGATATATATTGTCAAGAAACTCTTGGCATGTGAATTTGAGGATATATATGAGGAATGCTCACAGGAGCAATTTTTATAATATATAACATTGGAAACAACATTAACATTTGTTGGCAGGGTAATAGATAAATAAATTACTGTGTATTCCATATAATGAATTGGATGCAGCATGTTGTGAATTAAGGGTATATATATATATCAGTTGGATGAATCTTGGGAATGTAAGTTTCAACAAAAAAAGAAAATTGCCGGGATTACATAATCTATAATTTCATTTTACACAAATTTCAAAAGTGTACTAAACTAAATACTGTGCTAAACAGAGCAGGAGAATAATGAAAACAAAATTCAGGATAATGGCTACCTTTGGAGGGGGAAGGGAAGTGGCATGTCATTGGGGTGGGCCACATGGGGGTTTCAAAGATATTGGAAATTTTATATTTATTTAGCTGGTGGTGGGTACACTGATATTCATTTTATTGTTATTCTTTCTATCTTAAACATGGTACAAATATTTTTTGTAGGAATTAAATATTTAATAAAAATGGAGTCTGTCATTATTGCTTATTAGTATTCTTTGATAGGCTCACATTTATTCTATCATGCCACTTATAACATCCAGAGAAATATCTTGGGGATTTCAATTAGCCTACTTAATCTATTTATTAAATAGGAGAGAATTCTCTGTTTTGCTTTATTAAGTTTTTCCAGCTAGGAGAAGTAGAGCTCTTGTATTTTATTTCTCTCATTAAGGTTTTATTATTTTCTTTGAATAAGTCATTGTGGGCCAAGTATATCCAAGAATTTAATAACATAATGCTTTCATTACTATTGTGAATGGAAACATTTGCCTGTGTTTCTGAGCTGAGACAACGGCTTGCATGCTGAGACACATTGATTTTCCCCAAAAACTATCCCCTTTCCTTTGGATTTTCTAGGTAGGCAAACATGTTATCTGCAATATGATTTTTTTTTAGATTTTATTTATTTATTCATGAGACACCACAGAGAGAGGCAGAGACATAAGCAGAGGGAGAAGTAGTCTCCCTGTGGGGAGCCCAGTGCGGGACTCAATCCTAAGACCCCAGGATGCAGACAAGCAAATACTGGATCACGACCTGAGTTAAAGGCAGATGCTCAACCACTGAGCTACCCAGGAGTCCCTGCAATGTGATTTTTTTTCCATTTTCTATATATTATACCTTTTTGTTTCTTTCCCCCCCTAATAGCTATTGCCCACACATCTCATGATATATAAAATAAGAATGGTGACAGAAAGCTTCAGACTTGGAGTCAGAAGACATGGGTTTGAGTCCTGACTTTACCATATAATAGCTGAGTAACTTTAGGCAAGTTAACTTAATCTCTCTGAGCCTGTTTCTCCCGTTTCTTCATCTGGAAAATGAAGAGCTGAACTTAATTACTAAGGTTGGTTTTGGTTCTGAAATGAGGCCATTCTAATGTATATCCATTAAGTTAGAGTTACCTCTTTAAATAGTCTCTGCTTTGCAGGGCTTGATTTTGTTTTGTCTGGAGTTGTAATCAAGAATAGATGCTATAGGCTATTGAATGCCATATTGACATATACTGAGAAAATTAGATTTGCATTGTGGATCTATATTTTCCATATTATGATGAAGCCGGTGGTCGCCTTGCTCATATTGTTCCTGTCTTCCATAGAGAAATAAATCACTGAAGGTGATTCTTTGGCTATGAGCAGAGATTTGGTTAGTTATGGTTTTGTTTTAGATTTTCCTGTATGTTCACAAGTTAAATTCTGACCATATGTTTTCGTTGTTTTTCTTTTTGTGTGTTGCCCTTGTTCCATTTTTTAAAAAATATTTTTGTGCACTTTATGTAGAATAGGGATTATTGCTTTGTTCTTTAAGAGTTGGGGAATTATTTAAGGACTCCATTAGGACCATTAGACATTATAAATGTTTGACCTTGTTTCTTCTGTGGATCCAGTCACTTATTAGGCCTCTTTGAGGAGGGCAGCCAGTTGATGCAGCGAGGAGGCCCCTTGTCTGGGACCACTCGGGAGATCTGCTATTAACTCAATCCAGAACCTGGAGCAGGTCACTTCCTCTCTCTGACTTTTCTCATCTGTAAAATGGGGGCTGCAGCTGCCTCTCAGATGAGGTGTGAAGTCGTAGTGGGCATGCTCTGTAAACTCTCTGCCCTCTCTCACAGAGGGGCCTGGTAGCAGATTGGGCAGCTTTATTTTTACAGGTGCTTGTCCGTTTCCACTCAATTTCCAGACTCATAAAAAGAGCTAAGACTTAATAAGCCTGTCACCACATGCTTTCGGAATATTTATTTTGCAGATTCTTTTTTTTTTGTTTCTTTTTTCTTAAAAAAAAGGGGGGACTTTAAATAGCAAAAGGGTAGCTTTGCATTATTTCCTGTGAAGTTAAAGTTTTTTTCCTCTGATTTTATTTATACCACTAATAAGAAGAGAACTCTTATTATAATGCAAGGGTGTCTTTTCTTTTTTACTTTATTGTCAAAGAACCTTTGGAACCTCTTTTCTCAGGATCCTCGTGGATTCATTTATAGAGCATTTTCCCCCCAAAGCTTTGAAAGTTAGCTTAACGTTTTTTAAAAAGTGGAGCTAAGGGAAATAATTCAGAGCAACTGAGATTAATTTTACTTATTAACAGAAGGCTCACAAGCAAGAATGTTAAGTTATATGAACAAAGATATATGTGTTTGTTTCTCTTTACTAGAATATATACTTCCCAGCTCCTAGATTGGAGCCCAGCACATAGTAGGTGCTCAATAAGTATGTGCTGAATGACTCATGAATATGGATAGCTTGAATTTTTGACTTTAATATGTACATGTTTTTATTAATAAGACTAATGGCTTATTAATTTTTAATCATATACATGAGTATTATTTCTGCTTATGGAGTCTGTAGTTTTTCTCAATTTTATTCATTCCTGCTGCTGGCTATGGTATTGGAACATTTTTTCTTTTTCCTCTATTGGTCTTTTCCATTACCTCCTTTATTTTTTTTATTTAAAAAAATTTTTTTAAAGATATTATTTATTTATTCATGAGAGACACACAGAGGGATGCAGAGGCACAGGCAGAGGGAAAAGCAGGCTCCATGCAGGGAGCCAGACGTGGGACTTGATCCTCCATGCAGGGAGCCAGATGTGGGACTTGATCCTGTGTCTCCAGGATCACTCCCTGGGTTGAAGGTGGCGTTAAACCGCAGAGCCACCTGGGCTGCCCCCTCCTTCTCTTTAGATGGTTTCTATCAATCTCTTCTTCTTTTCTTCCTCCCTCCCTTTTTTCCCCTTTCTTTTCTTCTTCTTCTTCTCTTTATCATCACTTATGTATTTCCTATTTGTTCATCTATTTAAAAGATATTATTCAAAAAAGTTCCTACTCTATGCCAGACTGCACGGGGAAGAGGGAGAGTGAACAAGATGGTCATGATCTCTGGGGTCATGGAATTTATAGTCTGACAGGGAGAACAGGCCTGAGCAGATACATTTCACAAATACCTAATTATAAATTATGACAAATGCTATGAAGGCTAAGTTTGTTGGAGGGAGCATGGAGCTTTCAGAAAGGCTTTTCATGAAGTCATGGTAGCTGAGATCTAAAGGGAAATTAGGAGTTGATGGGGTTGGGGCCTCAGGGCACAGCAGGGTGAGGAATGGGTTGGGGGAAGGGAAGCAAGGTTTTCCTGAGAGCCCAGAGCCTTGGAGTAACTGGAATACAGTGAGCGTGTTGGGGATGAAGAAGGGGGCTAAAGGGCACAGTCAGGGTTCGTTCATGTCCACCTTTCTGTCAGGACTCCTCCTCTAGGACCTGCCTTGCAGGATCCCACACTGCACTGGTTGTCAGCAAGTGGTTTGTGTTACAGATTTCTTTTCTGGATTTTTAAGTCATTTAAGAAAACAATTTTAATTTTGTGTCTTTGGGCAAGCCATGTAACCTCTCAGAACCTCACTTTCCCTGAAATGGGATGAATTTTGTCTACCCCATGGGGTTCTTTGTGATCACCCTGTGATTATCTGCTAGAGGCCCATCTTCCTCCCAGGCTTGAGAGCCTGGCGGTGAGTGGGTGTTTAACACACCTGTATAATTCTGGCTTCTATGATGGGGCCTGGCATGCAATGAGGGTATCTGGGAGGCCGTCATAGAAGACGGAGCCCCAAGGCTGGGCCCAGAGGCCAAGATGGATTTGAGGAAGGGGGAAGGGCTGCAGAGGTATGGACAGACCCAGGGTCTGGAAAGTGGCAGATGGCCAATGAAGATCAGAGCAGAGAGGTAATAACAATAACAGTAATAATGATTGTGCTAGCTTATAATAATGAAGTGCTATCTTACTAGGCCCTTGTTATGTGCCAGACACTGGTTTAAACGCTCTACATATACTCATTTATCCTTTTAGTGACCCTGTGAGGTAGGTATTATAATTATTCTCATTTTACAAATGAGAACACTGAGGTACAGAGGGATTAAGTACCTTGCCCAAGGTCACATATCCACTAAGTAAGTGTTGAAGCCTGGATTGAAGACCAGGCATTATGGCTTCAGAATATATAATGTAATGAATGCAGAGAATTAGGAGTGGCTTAAATGCCAGGCTAGAAGGCCCTTCTAGGCTATTGTACTGGTTATGGGAGCCATGGAAAGCTTTAGAGGGAAGGAGTGCTAAGGCTGCACTCACTGTGCCCAGGAAAGCTGAAATGACTGTCTGTCTCTTCTGCAGAAATCATCCATGGAGCAGCCCCTGTACAGCAGCAGCCTGTGGGGCCCTGTGGCTGATGGCAGTGACTGCGTAGCTGAGGGCCTGTGGCTGCCACAACTACATGTAGGGGACTGGCTGGTCTTTGAGAACATGGGCGCCTACACTGTGGGCATGGGTTCCCTCTTTGGGGGGACCCAGACCTGCCGAGTCACCTATGCCATGTCCCGGGTGGCCTGGTAAGGGGGCCCTGCTGAGAAGGGAGTGGGGGAGGGCAAGGGAGCAGGCAGGGAACAAGAGAAATCTGAGATTTCAGACTGGTTTCCGTGACATCCAGGTTGACAAGTACCTCCTGGCTGTTGATTCCCAGTAAGGCCTGTGCTTGGCACCTGGTGTGGCCACGAATGAGCTGGAGCTGGCCTTGAGGAGCTCAGCATCCTGTGAGAGACCCAGAGGAGCAGACAGGCACTTGTGATAATACAGGGGGTGGGGGTGGGGCTGCGGAAGCTGAGAGCCCATCCTGATGCCCAGACCCAGCTCCCAGAGGAGGGAAGATGGTAGAAGAGTGGTGGGAGTGAGCCGGCAAGAGGGAGCAGGGGGTTCAGGGCAGAAGGAACAGCAAGTGAACACGCTGCCTTCAGAAACTACCTGAGGTTGGTTGTGGCTGGAGAGGGAGCAGGGCTGGATCTGGGCAGGGCTCTGAGCAGTGGGGAGCATGGACTGATATGAAGCAGGTAAGTGACACGTCTGGCCTGGATTTTAGAAAGACCACTCTGGCTACTGGGGGAATTACGGGAGGACAGGGGAGATTGTGCAGACTAGTGGGGGGCGGGCGTCTCTGTGGCCTGGGACTTGCCTGCTGGCTGAGCCTCCATAGGAAATATATACATTTGCCCTGCTTGCCTCACCAGGCCAGTGCTGAGATCCCAGTGAGGCAGGAGGGGCACGAGATAGAAGTCAGATTTGTTGAACCCTTCTGTCTGGCCTTCTGTCAGGCATGTCAGGCATGATTATTTTCTCTCACCTGCACAGAATCAGTGTGATCACAAAGAGAGGTTTGTCCAGTGGGGGCTGGGAGAGGCCTGCAGAAGCAGGCGCAGTTGGAGGGACTTCTATGCTGGGCCTCAGGCTGAGTCTAGCCTGTGTTCTGGGGGACATGCTAGGTGCTTGAGCACTGCGCCCCCCACCCCCCAATAGTGCTACCAACCCCCAGCCGGTGGGGCTCAGCATCAAGGTCACATTTTATCCATCCACCCAACAGACCTTTGTAGTACTTGCTCCCTGCAGGGGTACAGGATGGGCTGATGCAACCATTGTGACATTAGGGGTGTTGTGACAAGGTCTGAAACAAACTTAAAAAAGCAACCACACAGGCCTCCTCATCCCATCCTGGCTCCATCATAAGCAAACACAGGCAGAAGTGTAGGGAGTCAGTTTATTCATTACTAGAGATGAAAAAATTTGATGTATTAAAATGGCTGTGCCAAGAAATTCCCCACGTCCAAGGAATTCTGCCAAAATGTCCTGCTTTAGAGCCTGGCTCTGCGCTAGGTCCTGAGGGGATAACAGCACCCAAGGCAGAGTGGTGACCTGCACACACAGACACTGGCACAGAGAGCAGAAAGATCACTGGGGAGTGAGAGACAGCCGGGTGGCAGAGGTGCCAGGGCTAGGGGGAGTTAGGTGCAGGAAAGCTGATGGTGGGGGGCAGTCTGGGCTGAGAGATGTGGGGGTTTGAGGCCAGTTCATTCAAAGAACTGCAAATAGTTGCATCTGGCTGGAGTAGCCTGTGCAGAAGACTGGATGGAGAAGGACCTTGGAGGCCCAGGCTAGAGTTGATCTTGAAGGCACTAGAGGGTCAGTCACTGATGCTTTTTAGGAAATTGGATCAACCCATTTTGACAGATAAGGAGACAGAGGGTTCTTGGCCTAGGGAGCCTCCCACAAGCCTGACCACTGACTTGCTGTTGAAGTGTCCATGTCAGCAAAGAGGGAGGCCTTCCTGCAGGTGGGAGACTAGGATGGGCAGGGCCTGAGAGCAGACGGAAGCTGCTGACCACTCAAGTGCAGGTGTTTGCCTCCTGGAAAGATGAACCTGGGCCAGATGTCTGGAGGAGGCAGGGGCAGAGCAGAGAGACTGGATAGCCCCGGCTAGAGACAGTGGTGTCACTGGGAATGGAAAGAAATGGCTACACCTGTAAGAAAGCTCAGGACCTGGGCTCAACAGGGATAGACTGGGCCGGGGAACAAGATTCGTGACTTGTGGCTGAGCAGCTGGTCAGATGGTGGAGCCATTTATCAACCTGGGTAGGTAGGTCTGTAGGATTTTGGAGAGGGGCAGGAGATGATTTTTTTTTTTTTAAGTCCTATGCCTGGGATATAAAGAATGTGGGCTTTGGACTGAGAGAATTGGGCTGAATCCTGGTTCTACCACCTTCTAGGGATATGACCTTGTAGAGGTCACTTCCTTCTCAGTCTCAATTTCTTCACTGGTAAAATGGGGATAATAATGCTGCCCTTATGTGGTTTGGGGAACACAATTAGATACTGTAAGGTGCCTGGCACAGTGTGTGGCATGTAGTCAGTGCTCCATAAATATGGGTTCCTTTTCCCTTACTGTGGAGGAAGACCACTGGGGAAAAGAGAGCAGTGGGGAAAGAAGTCATCAGACTCATCCTCACTCCTGCACTAGGCTGGGCTCTGGGCCCAGGTGGGAACCCTACATACCAGGGGCTGGGACTTCTGGTGCAGGGGGCCTTCAGGAGCCCCTGGCCTGTGGGCCCCATGCTGGATGCCTCCAGTGCCCCTCCCTTGCCTGCAGGGAAGCACTTCGAGGGCAGCTGCTGCCTGCAGAACAAGACGAGGACACCGAGGGCATGTGCAAGCCTCTATCCTGTGGCTGGGAGATCACAGACACCTTGTGCGTGGGCCCTGTCTTCACTCCAGCGAGCATCATGTGAGCGGACCCTGTCCCCCCTCCGGAGAACTCCAGCGGGGCCGCAGAGATGCCTCTGGGAGATGTGGGAAAGGCAGCAGGCAGGGGCACCCTCTGGCCAGGACTCTGGTGCTCACTCTGCTGCCCCCCACACTCCACCTGTAGTGTTTCTGCCCTGTAAATAGGACCAGTCTTACACTCGCTGTAGTTCAAGTATGCAACATAAATCCTGTCCCTTCCAGCTGTGTCGCTTCCTCTGCAGCGCAAGGGGCCTGGTCAGCCAGGTGTGGGGGTGTTCTTGGGGTCTCCCTTGGTCTCCTTTCCACCTTTGTAAATATGAAGCAAATAAATATTTAGGTTTTTTAAAAATAACCCAGTGGAATCTAGCAGTTCAATTCACAAAGCAGCCCGGGCTAGGCCAGGGCTGAGACTTTCTCACCCTACACTGATGACCCCATGCCCTCTGCTTCAGTCCTGACATAGCTGCAGTGTGGGCATCTCCCTCTGGCATCCAGCTTCTCTGACTAATCTCTTTCCTCTGCATAGGCTGCCATGCTTGATGTCATGAGGAAGAGTGAACTGTTAGGGGTTGGGGCAGGGGTCAGAATTACCATCCTACAGCCCTAGGGCTGCAGCTCCTGACTTGTGAGGGGCCTCTATGTGAACCCAACACCCAGCCCAAGGCCTGGCTCAATGTAGGGATGACATTACCTGACACAGCTTTGGAAATTCATACCAAAGATAAAGGGCAGATGGGTATCAGGAGATGTTCTGAGGAGACCCTGCCCCTAACCGTCCCTGCAGGTCTGCAAGGCAGTAAGACTAATGCAGATATGGAGCGGCTGGTTTTGCTTATTCAGGCAGTAAATGCCAGAACAGAGCTGGCCATGGAGCACTGCCATGTCCAGTGCCAAGGGCCCTTCAACTAGAAGTCCATTGTCAAGATAAAGGCTCCTTCACAGCGCTAGGGTCCCAGGCTATTCACCTGGGGTGTGTGGGCTGCTTAGCAAAGGAGATCAGATTCTAGAGTCCTCAGCTACAATGGGTACCTGAAAGATTTTTCTTCTGCAATTAAAAAAAAACCCTGAAATATAAAATTATCATGCCTTAAAACCCACCCTTTTCAAAGTATAGAATTCAGTTGTTTTTTACTATATTTAGAGTTTGCACAACCATCACTACTGTCCAATCCAGAACACGTCCATTTTCTTTAAGAAACTGGCATTCGTGCCTCATTTGCCCCTTCCCCAGCCCCTGGCATTCACTAATCTACTGCCCATCCCTGTGGATTTACCTGTTCTGGACATATCGTTGAATATTTTTACCTTCACTTGAGCTTCTCCTAGGTAAGCCTGGTACGTGGGGTTTTTTCCCCCTGCACTGCCAAGCAATTCTCTGACACCAGCTGGGTGTCCAGCAATTCAATTTGATCCTGACACTATCTACCTGGAGATAGCTTCAGATCCCACAGGTTAAGGGCTCAGTCCTACAAGACTCCCCACTCTTCCCCCACTTCAGACACCAATCACCAAATCCAGGTTGTGACGTGTGTTGGGATGAACCGGCTATAGAGTGGAGGTTCTAATAACCCTCTTCCTTGGGTTCATTTAATTTGCTAAAGTGGCTCACAGAACTCAGGGAAACACCTGACTTACTGTATTACTGGTTTACTGTGAAAGGATGTAACTCAGGAACGGCCAGAAGAGCTTCCTGGGGCAAGCTATGGAGAAAGAGTGCAGACCTTCTATGCCCTCTCCAGGTAACATCACTGTCTCAGCACTTCCATGTGATCACCAGCTTGGAAGCTCCCCAAACCCCATCCTTTGGGTTTTCATGGAGGCTTCATTACCAAGCAAGACTGATTAAATTATTGGCATCGGTGACTGAACTCAATCTCCAGCCTCCTCTCCTCCCCAGAGTTTGGGGGTAGGATATAACAAAGGACACCTTTGTCACTCGTCACTTAGGAAATTCCAAGGATTTTGAAATCTCTGTGCCAGGAGTGGGGATGAAAACAAAATATACATCTATTACTGTAAGTCATAATATCACACCTGGTCAGCCTGTTTCAGCGTCTCAGCCACTCCTGGGTCCTACATGTGGCTCTGAGGTCATCTAATGAGGCAATGTGTTCTGAGTGAACTGGGTGCTTGTCGAAAGCAGAAATGTTTTTTCCAGGCTAGGCCTGGTTTTTGGTTATTTGACAATATATAGGCTGAAAGGTCAGGACACCAAGAGACTTGGAGACCAATCAGACAGGGACAGCATCACTACTGCCCATTGCTTATCCACCCACCACCAGGTTTTGCATCTTACACTGTGCGGGGCTCAGCCCTCGTCCATGAGGCTAGTTCTGAGACTCCTTCCATTTTGATGGCCGAGCAGATCTGGAGCCGCTCATGCCTGTTTGGAGGAGAAGGAAGGAGGGCAAACACAGGTTCTGCTGGAACCGGCCATCTGCTTCCAAAGGCAGCAGATGCCCTGCTAAGACCTCTGGCTGCAGCGAGATCCAGGAAAAACTCATTACCTTGTCTGAGGCAGGTTCGCTGGGGAGATGCTTCTGTGGCTTTTAAAATGACAGCAGCTGGCATGGAGTTTGAACAGATTTTTCACTGGAGCCTTTCAAATGTTTCATGTTCCATTTGCTGCAAGAGTGTGAAATTTACTTTTCTGAGAAGGATATACACAGAAGTTGATGTGACTTGCTTGAGAATAATAAACAGTCATTTCTTTTCAGTTGTTTTTGTCTGTCATTTCCATCTTTTTGTGAAAAGAAGAGAAGAATATTAAACATATGGAGAATGTTAAGGCCCTGATGCCTGTACAGGGGAATCTGACCTGGGTCTCCTGGAGCCCAGGCTGCACGGGCATTTGCGTCCTTTGAACATCTCCCTAAGCACGCCACTAGCAGTGAACCTGCATGCCATGCTGGCTGCCCTGGAGGTCACTTTCCTGTTGGCCTCTCCCAGACCCATCCTGCCCTGGGACCTCACCTAAGGGACACACTCCTCTCGACACCTCCCCACAACCCATCTGTGCCTCCTGAGGCTTCTCCCATGGGTTAACTCGCTCACTCACTCACTCTGGGAGGTTAATGGACCTGCAGACCAAGCTGCCACCTCCCTCACCTAGGGAATGGCCCCCTCCTTCCCCTCCACCGTCCACTCTGCTCAGTGCTGGATCCAGTTGCCCCCGTGATTTCCATTTCATCGAACATACCATTTAAAGTCCTCATCCAACTCCTTCTGACTCCCTCTCTCCTCCCTTGCTCACTACTCCCCAGACACAATGGCCCCTCCTTTCCTCAAACACTCCATACATCATACCCTTGCCGGGCCTGCATTTGCTGTCCCCTCTTTCTGAAATGACCTTCCCAGGTTATCTGGGGGGCTCACCCACTCCATTCAGGTTCTACTCAAATGTTTTCCCTGGGTAACAGCTTCTCTGACCACTCTTTAGAAAACAGCACTTTCCAAGTCTCTCTCTCCTCCCTTAACTGGTTTTCTTTTTCTTCACAGTACCTATTGGACACACTCCATTACATGTTGTTCTGTGCATCATCTGTCAGCCCCTCCAGAATGTGAGCTTGGCATTTTTTTTTTCACTGCTAGGTCCTCACTACTTAGAACAAAGTAGGTGCTCAAAAAGCATGTATCAAATGGACAACTGAATAAACATAGCATCTGACCTGTCTGAATCTGTTTCCTCTTTTGTAAAATGGGGCTGCTAAATATATTTCCCTCAGAGGGTTATTGGTATAAAGTACTTGGCTCAGGGCCTGGCACATCATTAGGTCCTGACGAAATAAATGATGTTGAAAGGTTAATTCCTTGAGCATTTACCGTGGCCATGCCCTGTAGTAGAAGCTGATGATGCGGAGATGAATCCTCAAGGAACTCACAGTGCAGTGCAAAGAGAACCGTGAACGAGAGTGAGTCTGACTTTAATTCTGTAGGCGTTAGGAAACCCCATATGCTTCTGGAACAGAAGCACACAGGATCTTTGAGAAGACAATTGAAAGTATATTCAAAAAGGGCAGAGGGCGGAGAGCTGGTGGGTTGGTGGTAGTACACACTTCCTTCACTCTACTGCAGCCTGGTTAAGGCGGGCCCCACCAGGGAGACTTACAGAGGTCCCAGGGACACAAGATGCCATGCGTCTGTCTATGCCTATTCTGGAGGGAGACTGTGGCCCTCTGGATGTCATCCCTCTCTCTGGAAGCCCCCCTGCCCAGGCCAGCTCATTCAGCTGTAAAGGGACCGCAGGGAAGGCAACAAGATGGGAGTTTCCACTCAACACTTTGCTCCATTTTAAATCCTCACCCCTGGGATGAGCAGCTAAACCTGTGTAAATTCAACCAGCAAAATTAAATTGCCCAGCACAGCCTCCAGCAGTCAGAGGGAGCTTACTGAAACCTGAATCTGCTCTTGTCAGTCCTCTGCTGAAAGTCCTTCAGTTGATTCCCACTGTGATGCCAATAAAAGCAAAACTGCCTGAGACCTCTGCCTGCCTCTCTGATCTCGCCTCATACCACTCTGCTCTCACCATGCTCCAGCCTACTGGCCTCTTTTCAGTTTTATGTTTTTGCTGCAGCCAGGTCCTTACCCTTGCCATTCCCTCTGCGCTACTGGACTGACTCATTCTCATTTTATTTTTTTTAAATACTTTATTTATTATGAGAGACAGAAAGAGAGAGGCAGAGACATAGGCAGAGGGAGAAGCAGGCTCCATGCAGGGACTTGATCCCAGGTCTCCAGGATCACGCTCTGGGCCAGAAGGCAGACGCTTAACTGCGGGGCCACCCAGGCATCCCACTCATTCTCATTTTAAAGAGTCACCTTCAGGGATCCCTGGGTGGCGCAGAGGTTTGGCGCCTGCCTATGGACCAGGGAGTGATCCTGGAGACCCGGGATCAAATCCCACATCGGGCTCCTGGTGCATGGAGCCTACTTCTCCCTCTGCCTGTGTCTCTGCCCCTCTCTCTCTCTCTGTGACTATCATAAATAAATTTAAAAAAAAAAAAGAGAGAGTCCCCTTCAATGTCACCTTCTTGGGAAGGCCTTTTCTGAATACCCTTAAACAAAGTGGCCCCTCCATCTATGTTAGGTAGAGTCACATTTTATAAGAATGAAATCTTGAAGGCGTTATTTACGGTAAGAAACGCATCAAGACTATCCCTGAAAATCCTTAGAAAGCAATCCTGCACAGCATTCCCTTTTTTTCTGCTCCTCTAACATGCCAGGCACCATTTCCTTAGAGGCCCAGAGAACTCCATGATCTCTCTCCCTCATCTCTCCAGGCCTTTCTGACCACCACTCTTGAAAACGAACACTCCTACCCCAGCATTTTGTAGCCCCTCGGTACCCTTACTCTCCCCCCACCCCCACCCCATAGCTCACCCTCGGATGTACTCTATATTCTACTTGGAATTTAAGAAGGCAGAGCTCTCTTCACTGCCTGTCCCCAGTACCTAGACTCCGCCCTATACATAGCTGTTCCACAATTAAGTATTGAAGGGAGCATCTTTCAGGTCTTAGCTTAGGGTACCTCTCCCTTTGGGTGGGGTAACGCTTCTCTAAGCACTCGCAGCATCCTGTATTAAAGAAATGTTGATCACAAGGTGATTTTTCTCTACTTCTCACAAACTGGCTCATCTCACAAAGACAGGGAGCGTCTCCCAACTGCCTGTGTCACCTGGAGCTTGGGTTTGTGCTTGGGAGAGTAGGCGTTTGGTGTCGTCTGAATACGGGAGTCTTGGGGGAGGCGGGTGGGCATCTGGCCCCTTGGGCTCAGTCCCCGAGGAGCAGCCTGCATCCTGCAGGGGGCCGACCACTCACTGCCATGGACTGCGGGCTTCGAGGGCTTGGTTTTCTCACCGAACAGACGCGACAGCCGGGGGGGGGGGCGGGGGGGGGGCGGCGGCACCGCCTCCCTGAGCCCGGAAAGCCGGCTTCCGGCCGTGACGTCACATCCGTGCCAGGGAGCCTCCGAGGCCTCGAGCCCCGTGCTCTCGCGCCCTCTGCCGGTCGGGAGGAGGACGTGCCCTCACCCACCGGAAGAGAGCGCGGAGTCCATTGGGTTCCGAGACCGACGCTCCAGTCTCCACCAATGGGAAGCCGACCTTCCGCCGTGGGCGGGGCTCCCACAGGAAAAGGGTCAGCCCGGGACAAAAGCGGCGTGGGAAGGCGGCGGCCCGGCCTCCGCGGGGCGAGAGAGGCCGCAAGCGGCCCCGGAAGTGGGCTTGTTACCCAGCAGCTACTTCCGCCTCGCGCCTCGCTTACACCGGGGGGGGGGGGAGGTGCGGGAGGAGAAGTCCCCCGAGGGAGCTGTCGGCGGCTGGGGGCTCGTCCCCGATGTCCCGCCCGGGCGGACGTCTCACACCCGAGAGAGACGTCTGGGGAGTTCACGCAGAGTATCAGGGGCTTCGAACGAGTTCCTGACCTGGAGGCCGAGGTGTTTTTACGTCTTAAAACAATAAAAGAGTACTTCCTGCGTGCCGTGCCCCGCCTGTGCCCCTCGCTCGCTTTATTTCATTTAATCCGCACAAGCCTGGGAAGTTATTTTGACAGAATCCGACCCGGCCCTGCCGGTGCTGGCGACCTGCTTCTGTCTAGTTACTACCCGTTTCCCGGAGGCAAATCCACACCTGTGCCACAGTTTCTGCATCTGTGAAATGGAATAATTGTGCGTATCTCGTACCGTTGTCCTAAGGACGAAATCAAGGACGTTTAAGGCCCTTAGAGCTGCACCTGACTCGCTAAGCACAGCAACTGCCTACAAGAGTCCCATTTGCAACCGAGGAGACTGAGGCTTGGATAGGAAGTAGCTTGGCTAGAACGGATAGTAATCAGCGAAGGCGGTTGGGAAGCGTCTCTGGCTGCCCCGGAGGAACCTCTCCACCATACTCACCCAGTCCTTTTCCTTTGGGAGCCTGAGGGGGCGGTAATTGCCTTTACATCAGCATGTGTATTTATTCAGTAGGATCCCCTCTTATCAAATGGCTGCTTTCTGGGCATTCTATTTTTTTTTTAATTTTTATTTATTTATGATAGTCACACAGAGAGAGAGGCAGAGACACAGGCAGAGGGAGAAGCAGGCTCCATGCACCGGGAGCCCGACGTGGGATTCGATCCCGGGTCCCCAGGATCACGCCCTGGGCCAAAGGCAGGCGCCAAACCGCTGCGCCACCCAGGGATCCCTTTCTGGGCATTTTAATAACGCCAATTAAGGTGGTGAAGTTCTGTAACTTGTTCTGTACACCTTCAGTTAGGGTGAGGCTCCAAGATCCATCTAATAAATCCCATCAATATGAAATCAGAAATGGATTTCTGAACCCATTAAGATCATGTGAGATATACGAGTGGAGATAATTATGATTAGGTGTGGAAAATGCCATTAGTGGAAAGCACAGGGGGCCAAGTGGGGTCTGATTAGGGACAGATGTAACTGCCTGTGAGGGGTAGGACAGAAGCTGCGGACTTTGATGGATGGGTAGGAGTTGGCCAGGTGGAAAAGTCAAGGGAAGTTGATGGGAGCATTCCAGCCCGGGGAAATGGTGTGTACAAAGGAGTAAGGTGTGATAATTGAGAGTCCTTTCTTGGGAACTGGAGTACCAGATGGAGGATGAGAATGAAATGGAGAGTTGGACTTTTTCTTTTTAATTCATGAGACACACAGAGAGAGGCAGAGGCGTAGGCAGAGGGAGAAGCAGGCTCTCCCAGGACCCTGGGATCATGACCTGAGCTGTAGGCGGTCACTCAACCACTGAGCCACCCAGCTGTCCTGAGATTCAGACATATTATGAAGGTTATGTTCTTGAGGTATCTGCAAACCAACAGAAGTTTCTCAGAAGGAGAGAGAAAGGTTCAGCTATGTACTTTACATGGCTCCCTAGGAGGCAGTGAAGAGGATGTGGGAAGCAGTTTCTAAGATGTCACCAATGATCCTGAACTCCAGTATTCACACTCTAGTAAGATTCCTTCCCCTTAAGTATGGGCTATGTTTATTGATTCCATTCTAATGAAGAGAATGTATTAGAAGTGATGGATTGTTATTTCTGAGATTAGTTTACAAAAACTGTGGCTTTTGTCTTGGGCACTCTCTTTCTCTCTTGTTCACTTGTTCTTAGGGAAGACATGTACCATGTTATGAGCTGTCTTATGGAGAAGCCTATGTGTCAAAGGGCTGATGTCTCTCTTTGATAGCTAGCAAGGATTTGAGGACTTCTAACAGTCACGTGAGTGAGCTTGGGGGTGGATCCTCCCTAGGCAGGCCTTGGAATGATTTTGGCCATGGCCAGCACCTGATGGCATTGCTGTGACAGCCCTAAGAGGTACCCAGCTTAGCCATTACCAGGCTTCTGACCCCAAAAAACTGTGGGACAATATGTTTGTGGTTTTAAGTTTTAATGAAATTTTAAAGTAATTTTTTATATATCAATAGCCAAATAGATAATATAGAGAGGAGGGGTGAGAGACAAAGCAGGGAGATTGGGAGGAGACTGTTGTTGTAGGCTAGGGAAGAGATGATGAGAATTGGAATCAGGACAGTGGCTGTAGGGTGGAAGAGCAGGAGACAAATTTGAGATATGTCTGGAAATAAAAGGAAGACATTTGGCGATGGAGTTGGATGTGGAATGAGGAAGAAGGCAAAGGAGAGAACAGTGTCAGTGTTTAGTAACAATGTGGGAGATGGTATTAGCTAGAGTTGCTAGCATGCAGGCCATAGGGATGAGTTTAAAAAGTATTTGCTTAAGATTTCTGGCAACAAGATAGATCAACACACAGACTCTAGGGTGGACAAAGATAAAACAGTTACTGTGGTCTGGGGAAGAAATACTGCAGTAAAACAGAATCAAGGAAGTGAGAACTGAAGGGAGCTCTCTTCTCTGAGTTAGATTTACTTGTCAAAGTATATGGGGTGCTACTCTCCTTTTCATCTAGTCATTCATTCAGCAAATATTTAGTAAATGCCTTCTCTGTACTAGGCACTGTTTTAGGCACTGGGGACACAAAAATGAGCACAAAAGTCCCTGTCTTCATGGCATTTATTTTGGCTGTGGGAAGAGAAACAATACCATATTTAGCTTCTGGCTGTTATTCTCTCCAACACTGCTTCTGTTTTATTCTTTGACAATTTCAATATACACAGAGATGATCCTTCCAACATTTTGTCCTCTCAATTTCTTGCTTCAGAGATCTTGTCTTTTCACTTCAGCCACTCACTCATGGTCATACCACTAGCCTTGCCATGGATCTGATTTTCTAAGTAACACCTCATACCTTTCCAGTTATTCTCTCTCATATTCTGACTCCATCGAATCCTTCAACTCCAGCAACTGAAATCTAGTAATCCTACATTTTGTGTTTCCTCTCTCTGTTAATGTTCTCTCTTCTAGCTGTATCAGCCAGGATAGGATAAGTGGTAATGGAGTAACAATCTCAAAATTTCAGACTTACATTTAAGGTTTACATTTTAAGCTTTAACACAATAAGGTTTTATTTCTTGCTCATACAACTTGAACATGATGGGGCTCTGCTTATTGTAGTCAGAAACCCAGGCTGACAGAAAAGCCAATATCTTAAGCAACATCTTATGTTGGTCACTAGGCCAGAGGGAAAAGAGAACTCATAGGGTTTTGTCATCAATTATATGCTCCAGCTAAGATCTATTACTAGATGGCCAAAACTAGTCACATGGCCATGCCCAACGTCAAGTGAACAGGAAAGTGCATTTCTACCCAAAGTCCAAAAGATTGAAGTGGAAGGGTGGAGTGGAGAACTGAAATATTTATGAATAGCACTTAGATTCCCATGCCAGCTTAAATTCCATGGTCAGTCTCTAGCATCATTCCCTCATGATCACCCTTAACAATCATGTCTTTCTTCTGTTTGTTGTATTCTCTTGGCAAAACCATCAGCTTGGTTCAATACAACTTTCCACCTTCACTCATGCAGCTGAAATAATTACACCTCTTGGAGTTGCCAATATCCTCTTAGAACCGGATTCTTTAGCTTACCTAGTTTGGGTGGCACTGATATTCCTGGCTTTCATATTTCAGGATTGGGGGTTAAGTGTGGGCAGGAGCATTCAGAGAAGACTTTTTTTCCTTTCTTTTTCCTTTTCTTTTTTTCTTTCTTTCTTTCCCTTCTTTCTTTCTTTCTTTTTTAGTTTTTTTTTTTTTAAGTGAGCTTTACACCAAATGTGGGACTTGAACTCACAAACCTGAGATCAAGAGTCTCATGCTATACCAACTGGGCCATTCAGGCACCCCTGGAGAAGACTTTCTTGAGAGAGAGAGGAGACATTTGTTCATTGTTCATTGATCCCCTGCTGTGAATCACTCTGCATGCGTAACTGCCATGGACTACGCTCTTAAAAATTGGGAGGACTTGCTTCTTTGATTGCCAGAGAGAAAAGGAGAAGATATTTGGGATGGGGTCGTGGGGAAGAGATACACGAACGTGTACAGGTAGGAAATAGCATTAGTGTGTCAGGGCAACAGTGATGATGAGGCATGTTGCTTCTGCTTCCTAAGCATCTCTTTTTTTCTTTTGTAATTTTATTTATTTATTTATTTATTTATTTATTTATTTATTTATTTATTTATTTATTTATTTATTTAGAGAGGGAGGGAGGGAGAGAAAGGCAGAGACACAGGCAGAGGGAGAAGCAGGCTCCATGCAGGGAACCCAATGCGGGACTAGATCCCAGGATCACGCCTGGGGCCAAAGGCAGGCACCAAACCGCTGAGCCACCCAGGGATCCCCATCCCAAGCATCTCTTGAATTCGGTTGTCTCCCAGTATTCCTACTGCCACTGCCAAAGTCTGTCATCATCATCATCTCTCATCTCTCATCTGGATGATTTTACCTCCTCCCAGCCGATTTTGCCAATGCTAGCCTTAACTCCTGCCCAGTCTATTCTTTAAGAGGAAGTCACAATGATCTTCCTAAAATGAATCTTTTTAAAATCATGTTACTTCCTGGCTTGAATCTCTTTGGATGCCCACTGCTTTCGGAATGAAGCCAGGACTTTTTAGCCGCTCCCCCACCACCCTCGGGGTCTAAATCTGTGCTGTCGATTATGTTAGCCACTGACTTCATGTGGCTATGGAGTGCTCAAAATGTGGCTAGTCTGATTTTAGATGTGCTATAAATGTAAGATATACTCCAGATTTCAAAGATGTAATTCAAAGAGAATGTAAAATATCTCATTAACAATTTAAAAATATTGGCTATGTACTGAAATATTTGTATATATTGGGTGAAATAAAATATATTATTAAAATTAATTTCACTCATCTTTTTTTACCTTCTTCAGTGTACCTACTAGAAAATGTGAAATTACATATATGGTTCATATTGTACTTACATTGGACTGTGTTGATTAAACCTACATACCCCTCTGGCTTTATCTTTCTCCACTCCTTGAATTTTAGTTAAGGCTATTAAAAATAAGAGAAACTGACTTTAAAAGGAAATGAAAACTCAGAGTTTGGGGAATTGACTGGAAGGGGCTTCTGACTCAAAGGAATTGTTGATTAAGCAGTCTGGGGGTTCTCATCCGCAGAGGTTCACAGATGTTATTGTCACTCAACTCCATTTCTGGGTCTTACATTCCACATTTCAAATTCCTAGGAAGAGAGAATCCGATTAGATCAGTTTATTTATTTATTTTTAAGAGGATCTATTTATTCATTTGAGAGAAAGAGAAAGTGAGCATGGGTTGGGGGAGGGGCAAAGGGAGAAGGAGGGAGAATCTCAAGTAGACTCCGCATTGAGCATTCCCAACCCCCTCGTTGTGGGGTCTATCTCACAACCCTGAGATCATGACCCCAGCTGAAATTGAGAGTTGGAGGCTTAATAGGCTGAGCCACCCAGGAGCCCCTGATTAGATCAGTTTAAATCAGATGTGTCTATTCCTGGGTCAATCCATTAAGGACTCATCATGAGCTGCCTACTGCACATTTCCTCCCCCACCCCTCCAGCCATTATGTTCCGAATTTGGTAACCTCTAGGAGTTAAGGGTCAGATAGTAAATTTTGTATGCATTGCAAGCCACAGTGTCTCTGTCACAACTACTTCGCTCTGCTGTGTACAGCAAAAGCAGTCACAGAAAAATACATAGTGGATGAAGGATACGACTATGTTTCAATAAAACTTATTTATAAAACCAGGAAGTGGGCCGTGTTTCACCAACCCCTACACTTTATTTTCTGTTCCCATTACCTGGACTATCCTTTTCCACCTTCCTTCCAACAAGCTGCTAGTTATTCTTCAGTTCTTGGTTTAGATGCCACTTCTTGGAAATTTCCTTAACTCTCTTTCCTTGGCCAGTTAATGGTCTCTTCTCTAGGAAGCTCTAGGAGCTTCCACAAGCTTCCACTCCTATACCGCATCCAAGCACTTCTCATTGCCATTGTTCTGTTCCAAGTACTAGATTATTAGTCTGAGTCTCATTTGTCATTATGAACCCAGAACCCAACATACTTGGTTATTATTGGATGGGTCGAAGAAGCCATGAACCTGTGGCTGGCAGTCAGAACAGACGTCTGAGATCTTAGGACACTAGTGAGAATTCTGGGATTTTGTATTAGCTGCATGATACCCGCTTCCTCCCTTTGTTGCCCCTCTGAATCCCAGAGATCAGGCAGTGGATAAAGGATAGGGGAGGCTCCAGGCTGGGCAGGGGTTCATGGTCCTGGTGATTTCCATGCCATCCAAGCCTTGCCTGTCAGGGGCTTAGGGCCATGTTCTCTAGAAGCACCATGTAATAAGTGGAAATTCCATGACCGCAGGAAAGCACAGATGATGGGAGTGTTTTAAGATTGACAAATGGGGGACGCCTGGGTGGCTCAGTGGTTGAGCATCTGCTTTCTGTTCAGGGTGTGATCCCAGAGTCCTGGGATCAAGTCCCATATCGGGTTCCCTGCATGGAGCCCGTTTCTCCTCCCTCTGCCTATGTCTCTGCCTCTCTCTCTCGAATAAATAAAATCATTTTTCGTTTAAAAAGATATGACAAATGGTGGGGCACCTGGGTGGCTCAGTCGGTCAAGCAGTTAAGCATCTGTCTTCAGCTCAGGTTATGATCCCAGGGTCCTGGGATTGAGCCCCAAGATGAGCCCTGTGACAAGTCCCACATCTGGCTGCCTACTCAGCAAAGAGCCTGCTTCTCCCTCTCTCCCTCCCCATGCTTGTGCTCTCTCTCTCTCTCTGTCAAATAAATAAATAAAATCTTAAAAAAATTAAGGTGTGACCAGTGGGAAAATTCTAGGGACATCAAGCCTTGGATAGTGTGATAAGCCAAGCCCCAACTGGAGTGAAACCACATGCTCTCATCCAGTCCCTGGAGCTGGTCTTCCTGTTTTGTTGTGAGATTCCCTGTGAAGACGCCACCAGCTCAGGGAGGGGGGGTTTCTCAGGGAGATAAGGGGGCAGCATTGGCCAAGGGAAGCCTTGGCCTCACAGTCACCCAGAGCCATAATTTTTTTTTTCAGAGCCATAATTACAGGGGCTGCAGAATGGGCTTCCTTGACCCAAGGTTTTGTGAGTAATGTCCAACAGAACCTGGACAAGGGTACAGGAGACTATGAGGCTACACTACATGGTTGTAGCCTCTGCAAGGCTTCATCTAGTTCAGCATATTATTGCTTATTGCCTCAAGAGAGTAAAGGAGTTTCTTCTCTTAAGGGTCACATGTCACACCTTTGGGCAATACACACTCGCTAGGGCTTTTTCTGAGTGTTGTGCCAAGGAGACTGAGAATATAACATAAATGGAAACTTCTAGTTTTTCAGTCCTTGAGTGGCTTACCTGGGTCCCTGATGGGGATGGTGGGCTGGGGTGAATGACGTGAGACCACCGGGAGCACGTCTTCCATAACATACAGCTGACGATCAGCAGAGTGGACAAGGACAACAGGGCCGGGATGATGATCACCGCAGCCTGCAAGCCACCCACATCTGGCCAAAGGGACTGAAGCGTCAAGGCAGGAGTAGCAGACTGCTCTCCGGGGGCAGGCTGTGCCCCTGCCCTCCGTAGCTGTGTCCACACAAGATTGAGATCCCAAGTCTAGAGGAGGTATGGTATAGCGCAAGAACAGACTTGGAGGTGAAGATTGAGTGACCTTGGGCAAGTAGCCAATAGTTCTATTTCCCCCACTGGTTGGCACTTAGAAGTACATGGTACTTGGTCCATGTTTGTGGACTCTAAGTGAGAGAAGTGATATGAATAACACCATGTGCTTTATATGCCTTGTGTTGTCCAACCTGGCAAGCTGCCTGTAATATTCCCATCTACCAGATGGGGAAGCTGAGATGCAGAGGCTGGCTTGTCTGAGGTTAAAAAGTTAGTAAGGGGCAGAAGTAGGATTTGAACCCAGGTCTGCATGCTGCCAGGACTTCACGCTATCCATGTGATTCCCAACAAGAATGGGCCGGGCATGTGGGCCAGCCCAGCAAGACAACACCTGGCACATGATAGTCCTTCAATAAATTCCAGCTAATTAGATAGTAATATTAGTTTGACTCATTGGGTCCTCACTGGAAGGATAGATGTATTACTCCGGTTTCTCAGGAAAACGGAAGTTAGGGAGGTGAAGTATCTTCCTTAAGATAACCCTGCTGGGAAGTGGCAAGCCTAAGACTCAAACCCAGGCTGACTCCCCTTTTCTCATGTAGGCTAACGTGCTTAAGTAGTAGAGAAATCCAGTACTCCTGCCTCAGTTTATCCAGCTGAAAAATAGGAAGATGTCATTGGAAAAGCAGTAACAGAGGGATCTTTAAAGAGTCATCCTATGAAAAGGGCCAGTCTTGTCTGGGGGGACCCAGAAGACAGGGCTAGAACCAATGGGGATGCAAGGGGACCCACATAAGGAAAGGTCTCCTAATCATTATGGTCCAGTAGTGGGATGGGCTGCAGCAGAGCTAGTGAGCTCCCTGGCACCAGACACTTTACCCAGGAATGCTGTGGTATGGGAGACAGCAAGAATCACATACTAAGGGTTATGCTGGTTGGAGGAACAATGTGGGAGCTCTGGATCCTGTTTCCTGGAACTGCCAGCTTGCTGTACCTGTCCTCTCTGGGGCTCCTGAGATAAGGGAGTGGGGCCGAGCAATATGGCTCTGAAATAGCTCTCAGTGCTCCCAGGAGAATTCTCCCTTCCAACTTTCTCTCTACCACATGCTGCAGCCTCACCAGCCTTCTCTTGGCCTCCAGTTTTGCTCTACCCCATGCAACTATGGCCTCACCCCTGCCCTGATTAATGCCTTCTCATGGTTCCACAGTGCCCGCAGATGCCGCACAGCATGGCGTGACCTGCCCTGCTTTCCTCTCCAGCTGCATCTCTCTGCCCGCTGGGTCATGTTCCACCCTCAGCCACATCAACCTCATTTCTGGCCCCCCTAACCCTTGCACACGCCGTTCCCTCTTCCTGGAACACTTTACCCACTTCTTACTCATCCTGCAGGCCTCAGCTTCAGCAGTACCTCCTCCCGCAGCCTCTTCTCTAGCCTTCCCTCTGCACATGCTCTGTGACAGTTTGGTCGCTGTCAACTCTTGGATAGAGACCTGGGATGCACCTGTCATTGTTTATCTCAGTGATAGCACATAGTAGATACTCTCTACAGGTTTGTTAGGTGAGTGATTGAATGAGAGAGAGAGAGAGAGAGAGAGAGAGAGAGAGAGAGAGAGAGAGTTGATAACACAGTGGGGCTGTTTTGGAGGAGAACAGAGAAGGACGGAGGGGTCCTCTGGCCCGGGCCTCCCCCACCCCACAGGTAATGTCACCTTTTCTCCATTTAAGTCTTGCCCAAAGTCAACATTTCTCTGGACTGAGCTCGGGGAGGGTGCACCCAGGCTTGGCTGAACAAACATGACCTTCACCACTTGACCACCCCACCCCCATTCAGTTCTAGTCATTTGACTCCAGCCCAAGGGCTATATCTGGTTCATCAGCTTCCCTCTTTGAGAATTAGCCGGTACTGGGCAAGAGGTGAGGGTAAGCTGGGAGGCACAGAGCCTGGATTCATCAGCTCTGCTATGAACTTGCTGCGTGACCTTGAGGAATTCAGGTCCCTTCTCTGAGCTCAGTTTCCCCAATGATAGCAAGGGAAGTTGATCCCTACACCCATCACAGGATAGTATGGGAATGGCAAGATAATAAGGAGCATGGGTTTGGGAGTCACACAGACCTGGGTTCAAATATGCACTCTACTGGTTAATTGGAAAATCATCTCAACTCTCTGGACTTAGTGTTCTTATCCATAAAATGGGGATGAAAGTAGTACCTCCTCTCGAGCTTGCACTAAAGATTAGCTGAGATGACAGCTAAGAATGATTATTAGGTTAATGATGCTTCAAACAAGACCTGGTGCACAATTTGATTCAATGCATCATAAGGTGTGCAGGGACGTGGAGAAAAAAGAGCATTTGGAGGGATGCGCTTGGGTAGCTCCATGGTTGAACGTCTGCCTTTGGCTCAGGTCGTGATCCTGGGGTCCTGGGATCTAGTCCTGCATCAGGCTCCCTGCGGGGAGCCTGCTTCTTCCTCTGCCTATGTGTCTGCCTCCCTCTCTGTGTCTCTCATGAATAAATAAAATCTTTTTTTTTTTTTAGGAGAGAGCATTTGGAAACATGACTTCAAATTTAGTTATAGAATTCTAGAGTTGGGAAGGTGCCTGAGGAACCACATGGTATGTTGGTGAGGACACTGAGACACCCCCCGCTAAAGTGGAGAAGGGTCTTGTCCAAGATCACTCAAGTGCATTGTATTTGGCTGGAAAATTCCAGTGTGGGCCTGGGCAGGAAGCCGAGTATTTGTTTTGGGAACCAGAAAATGTTCAAGTGGCTTCAGGTCCCTCCCCACCAGCCCTGGCCCCACCGCCCCTGGCACAGGCTTGCTGCTGTTCCTCCCTCAGCCCCATAAGTCTGAGGAAAAGCTGGCTGAAGAGCTGGCTGAAGTTCAAGGGTGTGTAGCACTTTTCTCCAACTCCCTCCCACCACTTGAAGAACTCCTTTCCCTCCAAGGCAAGACCACCCAAACCCTCCACGCCCCATAATCAGAGGAACCCAATGTTTAAGAAAGTGGCAGAGGAAAGGGGCAGGGTTCTACTTACTGCACCGGTGGGCAGCAGTGGAGAAGTTGCAGGGGGGCTCTGTGCCCATCAGTGGGGTGTCGGGGCCTCAGCTCAGGAGGGGTGAAGGTGGCAGGTGCTCAGGCCTTCCCAGTGCATTCCCCTTCTGGGAGGGGGAAGACCAAGGTTACATCCTGAAGCAACTGTGGCAATAGGGTCCCTACTCAGAATGGACATCAGGAAGAGCAGGCTTCCAGGGACTCTGGGATCAAACATCTCTTATGGCGTTAAACTGATGCTGTAGAAGACTATTTAACAACATGGAAAAATGAACACAGTCTGTTATTAAGTGTGGGGGGGAAGGCTATGGAGCAATAAGAGACTGTGTTCAGACTCAATAAACACACTCACATGGAGGGGGGGGAAGACTGTAAATGTTATCACCAAAGCACAATCAGTGGTTATCTCAGGACAGTGGCTGGTGGGTGATTTTACTTTGTGTGTCTTGACTGTATTTTTTCAATTTTCTATACTAAACACATTATAAGAAAAAAAATTTACTCAAGAAAGCAGCACACTTTAAGAGAGCAAGAATTTGACCAACAATTCCATTTGTAGGAATTTACTTTACAGAACACATAGAAACATGAAGCATGATCATATTTTCGTAAAAGAAAATTCTATTTTTGTTTACGCATAAGCAGAAATGCCTGGGAGGACCTGAACCAAACTGTTAACATCTATTGACTTCTGGGAGCCAGATGAGGAAGCTTCCTGCTTTACAGTCTTACATTTTATTTGAATTTTTAAACAATGAACATAAGTTATCTTATAATTATTTAAAAAGGCAAACAATCAAACAACATTCCTAGTCTTTGCTGGCTCTCTCTGGTTCTCCCTCTGTAGAATCTGGCTGAGGGTGATGGAGTGGTCAGTGGGCTCATTCTGGGGGCTGTTTCTATCCGAGCATCTTCAGGGAGGAGCTTTCTCTGATCTGTAAGACTGACCCTCAACTTAGAGCTGGGGTGGCTTCATGATTCCAGCTTTCACACTAGCCAGTTGCAACCAGCAAACATTTCCTGAGGCCCTCTCTGCACCCAGCAGGCAGAACCAGAGAAATGATCCTGCCTCAAGATGCTCGTGGTAGGGGGAGACCCAGAGTGCTACAGGGGCCCAGAGCATTTTCTGCTGGGTCTGAAAGACTGGGACAGCTGCATCTTGAGTGAGACATGAAGGATGGACAAACAGGATATCAACAGGAAGAAAAGGGAGGTCAAGGGCATTCTAGGCAGGGGGACAGGTATTACAAAAGCAGAGCTGTTAAGGACCAAAATATGCTTAACACTCCATTTTAAAAAAAGATTTTATTTATTTATTCATGAGACACACACAGAGAGAGGCAGAGACATAGGCAGAGGGAGAAGCACACTCCTCACAGGGAACCCAATGTGGGACCCGATCCCCAGACCTGGGATGACACCCTGAGCCAAAGGCAGATGCTCAGCTGCTGAGCTACCCAGGCGTCCCTTAAAATGCTCCGTTTGGAATCCTAATATTCTGAGTGCTTTCCTTCTACCACTATATACAGCCTTTTCCTCCTCTACAGGTAGCCCCTGGAAACAGAAAAGCCATGTTGTGTCACCAGCAGTCTGTGTCAGGGTGTTGGTGACAGGAATGGGGGCTGAAGGCTGGGCCAGAGTGACAATTGCATTGGCCAGGTACACAGGAGCCACCACCACTTCTAGCTGGATCTGTGCCCACACAATAAAATCTGCTCTCGTGCTGCCTGAATAGTCATAAGGAGACCCCTCCCTCTTCCCATCCCCCCTATAAACTATCACCTACCTGCTTGATGTGGTGCCTGAGATCCCACCACTATTCTCTCTTCCTGGAATGGCTCCTATTATGAATGTGCATAGGTTGAAAAGGGCACAGCATCTGAGACCATAAGCCAACCACCCCGAGGAACACAGGAGGGTGTGTTTTGATAGAGGAAGGAAAGGGATGGAGGAGGACATTTCAGGAGTGTGACAGGAAGAGGGAGGGTGGAGGGGGTGGGCAATGTTGGGTAAACTTCACAAGGCTACCTCTGCCTCTTAGAACCTTAGAACCAGGGGTTGCCCCATTATCCCTCTTGTGGAACCAGTGAGGAATGGACACCCTTAAGGTGGAGATGAAGGAAGCTGTCCAGTCACTGGAGGGTCAGGGTTGGAGCCAGGATCCAGTCAGATTTAGCAAGGTTCTCCCAAGTCTTGACCCTCAGTCCCATACCTGTGATGTCCAGCCAACTCTGCTTTTTCTGGGACCTCCTGAGGTCCTTATCTGCATCTCCCTTTTCCCAGGTATAAGAGCAGAGCTGCTCATTCCTCATACAAACCAGGACCTCATTCCTGGTTTGTAGATCTTGCAGTTTGGTTAGGGAGGGGCTTCTGCCTGGGGTTTGCTGTAGGCAGAAGAAGCAGGTAGTCCAATGGCTCAGCCTACAGCAAGTGAGGGGCAAAAGCCTCTTCTCTTGAGAAAAAGATTCCCAAACCTCCAAACCACTGCAGTCCTGGGTCTGACTCTAGTGCTGTGGAATCAGGGGACCCCCTTGGGCCATTCCCCCAATACCCTCACTTACCTGGAACTCCTTGTGGCTCAGGCAGCTGCCTAGGTGGCTTTGTCTCTACTGTGGCTGGTGCTGGCTCTGGACTGTATTGCCAGTAAGGGAGGTACCAGGTGTGGACAGGCACCAACTGGCTTTGCTCTGGATGGGGGACCTTAGGGTCAAGGCTAACCGTCTCTTCTTGGGGAAGAGCATAGAGAAAGGCACTCAGCTCTTGGTATCTGGGGCTTTGGGGGCCCTAGCCACTCCTCTTTTCTTTCTGCTCAGGCTCCAGGTTCCCAAGGGGTGGGAGGAGGCACCAGAATCCACTGGGAGGGGATTAAAAGTTGCATGAAAAGAGCCAATGACTGGGAGGCAGGAGACCTGGGTTGGGCCTGGCTATGGGCCACAGGCTGGTGTCTTCTCATTTGGGTCACAGTGTTCTCTGTAAAATGACATGGTTGTAGTCAGTAGTCTTTCAGCAGTTGTCCTATGATACTGACTGGCATGCTCAGTTGGGCTGTGTCCATCCCAGAGAGGACTTTTCAGCCTTGTGACCCCTTTGTTCTCCCCTCCAGTCTGAGGAGGGCGGCTGCCAACTCTGAAGGTATCCCTACACCCCCACTGACCTTCTTAGACATGGGATCCTTCTTCTCTGGGTGCCTCCCTCCTCAGCCCTGCTCCTTTTCCTTTCCTGGGCAGGGCCCTCTTAGCTGGCCATCCTCCCTCTCCTGTTTACTGACTGGGAACCAGGACACTTGGGTTTGGGTCTTGGCTCTGCCTTGTGCCGTATGCCCTTGAGCTAGGAATCAATTGTCTCTGAACCTCAGATCCCTCAGGCCTCACGAGCATTCAGACTTGATTATACCCAGGCCGACAATTTCGGGGAACTCACCAGGACTTGGGCTTCATGCCCCTGGCTCCAGCTTCTTGAAAGGCCACCCTTGCCGTGACATCAGAGTAGGAAGCCCCTGGGCCTTTGGTCCAAAGTGTCAATCCTTCCCACACTTCATCTAATTCCTTGGGTGAGTGGGGGGCATTTTGAAATAGTCAGAAATATAATAGAACTATCAATTTTTTGAAAGAAAATAGAAGACAGTTCTATTCTGTACACAAAGTAAACACACACACACACATCATTTCATCCAGATAAAAGGAAAAACAAAGGAAAATAAACACATTTCAAAATAAAAGTATCCCCCAATCTCCAAATTTTTTGGAGACTGTGCCTCCTGACTGCATCTCTCTTTCTTTCTGTCTCTGTTTCTGCTCCCCATCACCCCATCTTCAGGCATGGTTCAGGATTCCCGGAGTGGAATCATGGGTGTCCCAGAGTAAGAAGAAATAACCACGCCCCGGTGGGCAATTATGATTCAGCACCTTGGCCAGCACTTACCACTCCCCGAACCCCACTTCTCTTCAAGACCCCTTCATTTAAGCCTGTGACATGGCCCTTTGCAACTGACCTTCTGGTGGAGTGTCTGGGGATGGTGAATAGAGTCAGGACCCAGGCAGGGTGAGAGGAAGCCAGGAATACTGCCCAGGTGTGAGCAGTCAGCCTCCTGGGACAACTTCCCTGGCTGAGCTCTGTGCTGCTAAGAGACCTTATCTCTGTTGTTTTCTATTCCTGCTGCCACCCCAGAGAGAAACACCCAGAACTAATGTTAGGTTCTGAGTAGGACAAACCCTGCATTAGACGTACAAATCCTAGACAATCAGAGCCAGAACCTTGGCAATCCAATTAACTAGAGCCCTACACCCCTTCCCCAAAAGAGATGGGGACACTAAAGCCCAGGGAGAGAGAGGCACCTGCTTAGGGTCACATTTTACCTTCTTGAGTCTACCCCTGATCCTGAGAGACACATGGGTCTTGGCTCAAAGTTGAGACTTGACTCACAGTTGCACAAATGCACAATAGTTTGGAGCCAGGGTTAAGGTCCCCTTTTGAATCCCAGGGGATCACAGTTCTGGTGTCTGCTGCCTGTCACTGAGGCAGTCCTCAAAGATGAGCAGCATTTCCAGGGAGGTCCAGTGAAGAGTTTGGCTTTAGCTTTGATGGGCCTGGGGCTAATTTCTGGCCCTGTTGAGTACTAGCTGTGGGTCCCCAGGCAGGTGATGTTCTCCATTCACACACGGTGAGAAAATGATAACAACCCGTGGGCTTGTCTTGATGTTAGATAAGTATTAGCATTCTGTCTGCTGACCGCAAACTGGGATCCAGATAAGGATAGTGTCCTATCAGTTCTCTCCTGCTCTGGGTAAGACTTTTGCTGATCCCTCCTTCCTTCCCAAGACTGGGATGCCTTTGGCTCCCCTCTTTGCTTGCCTGTGTTAAATGGGAAACTCCTGGTATCAGCCTAACAAACCCAGATCCTTACATTCAGGAATTTTTTGGACACTTCATACCTTTGGAATTGCCCTGATTTCCCAGAGTCCTGAGTTGGGTGTGCAAATTAGGCCCTTACAGTTACTCCTAGACAGTGGGAAATGGGAAGTGAAGACTGGGATGTGGCTAGCACTTCTTGGACCTCATGCAGAGGCTAAGGGAAGGGTAGGAGGGACCATGAGGACATGGTCTGTCTTCTCCCCCAGAAGACAGATCCATTGATCAAAGATGCAGGGTCATGACTGGGGGACCACAGAGATTTGAGAGCCTCGGGTCGGGTAGAGGGCTTGGGGATATTCTCAAAATCATTTTCCTCCAAACTGGGTGCTCTCCATCAACCAATCAGAGACCTTTCCCTCTGCTCCTGCAAATTCCTCCAATCTTTGTTCATGCCCCTCTTTCTAGAAACCAGAACAATTTAATGACTGTGGTGGCTCCCTCTCTGCTCTCCTTAGCTCCAGGTATAAGTGAAGATCCACCTGAAGCGTCCAATATGGCCTCCTTCATTTGCAGGTAAGGAGACTGAGGAGGGAGGCTTCAGGGTCCAGAAAGAGTCATCCCAGAACTAAGACAAAGCTCAGGTCTCCTGTTTCCCAGATTGCTGCACTGCACAGCTGTGGGGCCCCAGGGCCTTGTCACTTACAGTGTGCACAGCTCATCTGTCCATATTCTTGGCCCTGCCTGACTCCTGGCCAGACTCCTTCCCAGCTAGTCAGAGGTAGGGTGGACTTCCTTCTTTACAGCAGACCTGGGGACATTACTGGCTAATGTAGATACCCTCTGCAAGGCATAAGGAAGAAGATATACTCTTTAGGGTCAGATTTCTTAGGACACTGAGTCTGGGAGGCAGCTGGAGTGAGAGTAGCTGGAGTAAGCGAGCTCCCTAAATGCATAGCACTTTGCAGCTTACCAATAAATCATGAGATGGGAGTTATTATTCCCACTTTCCATGTGGAAAAACCAAGGCCCAGAGAGGTTAAGCCATTTCTCTAAAGTCATACAGTAATGGAGCCTGGGTTCAAGCCCAAGTTTGTGATATTCAGGAGACCATGACATTGTCTCATGAGCTCCCCTTTACTCCTAAGGCTACCACTAACCCCTCCTCCAGGCAGACTACCAGTCTTCCCTGACTAGTAAATTGTGATGTAAGTGCTCGCTTTAGAACCCAGTTCTAATCCAAGCTTTGCCACTTTCCAGCGTGGGACACGGGACTCTGGGCATGTCACATCTTCTCTCTGAACCTCATTCTCTACCTCTGTAAAATGGGCATAATACTACGTACCCAGTAGGGTTGCTTTGCAGATCAGCCATGCTAATATACGTATCCTGCCTGGGATGGAAGAGGTGGGCCTTTCTCAAAATGAATGGAACTGACCACTGACATTCTGTAACTTTAATTTAATACAAATTCATCATAACTCACAAAATGGGAAACATTTAAAATAAAAATACTGCTGGGGGTGGCCCAGATTCTGGTAGATGAAGGGGCGGGATGAGATTGAGGATTTCTCCTGCCCAAGAAGGATGCTATGGGCAGTAGTAGTGAGGGGAGCCCCCCAAGTTCACCTAGTCTGGTTCCTTTGGGGAAAGGGTGATCAGGGACCCCACAAGCTTCAGAATCTAGGCTCCAGGACTAGAAAGCAAAGCTGAGGCTTGAGACATTTCAGCCGCTCCTGCAGATACACCTCTCGGGGCTGTCACCCCTGGGAAAAGACAGAGCCACGGAGCAGGACATCTGGAGGCTCTGCTGCTTCAAAGCCAAGACCCCGAGGTGAACCCCTGTGCACAGGCTTGTTCAGCACTCACTCTAACTTCCTTCTAGGCCCTTTCTATGTGGCTGGGGCTGGAAAGAAGAATAATTTCCCAGATACCCTTACAGCCAAAGTCCTGGGTCATATTTCTTTTTCTCCAACAGTGCCCCTCATCCAGATTTGGATTTGGGAATTAAATTGAGTGGGAGAGATGCCTCAGGACATCCATTTGCTGGCCTGGCCAGAAGTGGAGGGAGCACAGCTCTCCAGTCCGCAGCTTCCTGATGCAGGGGCTTACTGCAGATAGGAGCAGTGTTTCTGACCAGGACAGACATGATGAATCTGGTGACTGGGAGTTATTCCTGGAAATTCAGCAGAGTCTGCTCCTGCAGTCCTTCCAATGATTTTGCAAAGCCATCAGGGATGTGATAATAAATCCTGCCTAATTAAACTAGCTAAAGCAGCTCTTGTTATCTGAAACAGGATCCTAACAGAAACAGATGCCAAGCCTGATGGGAGGTCCCGGCCAACAGCCTGCCCCAGAGCTCCAGTCCTGACTGAAACACCATTCCCTGCAGCCTCTCCGCACCCTAGCCTGGTCACAGAGACCTGCCTGGACCCTTATCCAAGCTTCTGGGGACTTCCATCACCCAGTGATGCTTTCCTGCAGCTGCCTTTAGGCTACTGGTCTCTGCATTAGCCTCAGGGCATGCTGTCATCCTGCTTTTAGACCTGTGTGGGCTGGAAGGGAGTGGCACAGTGACTGTAACATGTGGGCTCAGTGACCGGGTGCCTCCCACAGGCCACAGCATTGTCTCTACCTACAGGTCAGTGGGAAAAACAGGAACCATAAAGCTCTTGGTCTGGAGGTAGAAGAGGTGGTTCTCAGACAACCCTAAGACCCGCTACTGCCTGCATCAATTATGGGCTGGGGTCAAGGGTAAAGTGGCCCATGGCTTAGTGAGGGGCAAGTCTGAGACCTGGGAGCATGAGAGGGTTCCTGTGTATCTTTCAGGCTGCCAGCTGCTGGCAACTCTGACACATCCTGAGATCAGGGCATGCGGGCAGGAGGGAGACACAGGGAGGTGGTCCCCCTGCCCCTGAGAGGATGGGGATGAGGGCTGGGCGGGGGCTGCCCGAGGAGAAGCCACATCACATTCTTGGACCAAAGCTGCCTCCCCATCAAGTTCAGAACTACAGGACATCAATGCTGATAGAGTTTAGGAATCATGGAGCACAACGTCCATTTTACAGACAGGGAAATGGAGGCTGAAGGGTAAACAAGCGATCTGAGACCTCGCGGTGGCCACGCTTAACCGGAGTCCAGGCCTCTCGTCCCCTGGGCAGCGCTCTTGCTGGTGGCTGTGGCCCAGGTGGCATCTGGGGGTGCCCTCTGCCGCCCTAGATGCGGACGGTATTGATCCTCAACGGCTGCACGTTCTTGCCGTTAGCGTGGCTCTGCCCGGGGCTGAAGTAGGAGCAGAGCTTGCCCGGAAACTTCTCGCGGAAGGTGTAGAGCCAGGACATGTCGTCAGCGTTGTAGAAGATGAGCAGGCCTTGATCATAGTCCAGGAACACGCCCACCTTGTCGAGCTTGTCGCGGACGTTGAGCCGGGTCCAGGGCTCAGTGCAGGCGCTGTACTGGTTGCCGTCGTGCATGACGATGCAGTAGAAGCCCCGGCTGGGCTGGATCTGGATGCTGCCCTTGCGGCTGGCCGCCTCGTGGGCCAGCCCGATCACCCACTGGGTCTTCTCCGCCACCACCACCTCCCAGTAGTGGACGCCGCTGCTGAAGGCCTCGGAGCCCAGCACTGACACCTCCACGTCAAAGCGCTTCGGCGAGTCCTGCAGCGGCTGTGGATGCAGGTTGCCGTAGGCCACGATGGTGCAGTCGTCGGACAGGATCAGGCGCTGGTGGGCAGTGCCCGGGTCCAGGGTCAGGGCAGCGGGCACTGCAGAGGAGGGAGCAGGGAGAGAGGATGAGCGGAGAGAAGGCTGTGGACCTACTCTGCGGTCCTCCCTGAGGGCCAGGCTCCCCTGGGTCCCTGGGAGGCTGTGTGATGCTGAATGCAAGCCTGCCCTGTCTGGTCCTCAGCTTCCTCCTCTGTAATATGGAAGGGTCATGGCTAAGGTCCTTCTAGATTTAAACCTGGCTTCAGGGACGCCTGGGTGGCTCAGGGGTTGAGCGTGTGCCTTTGGCTCAGGGTGTGATCCCGGAGTCCCAGGATCGAGTCCCACTTCGGGCTCCCTGCATGGAGCCTGCTTCTCCCTCTGCCTAGGTCTCTGCCTCTCTCTCTCTGTGTATCTCATGAATAAATAAATAAAATGTTTAAAAAGGGGGGGAGGGATCCCTGGGCTCAGCGGCGGTTTAGCGCCTGCCTTCGGCCTGGGGCATGATCCTAGAGACCTGGGATCGAGTCCCACATCGGACTCCCTACATGGAGCCTGCTTCTCCCTCTGCCTGTGTCTCTGCTTCTCTCTGTGTCTCTCATGAATAAATAAAATTTTTAAAAGAAAAAAAAAACCTGGCTTCTGAGGAGCAGGAGCTGTGACTGCCTTGAGCAAGGAACATAGTGGGCACCCCACAAATTTGTTGAATAAACCATAATGAAATCTAGAATTAGGGGACTTCAAAGCTGGGAGAGCTTAAAGATTATCCAAGGGCTGGTAATCACCCTGGAGTGGGAATGAGGAAATTTATGGGGGTGTGTGTGTTCTCAATAGGTGGGATCCATGCATCTAAATGCCCTGAATGAAATGACAGGGCAGTCTCATGACACTCTTGCCACCCATAAATTTTCAAATGCTCAACCACTCAAAAATCTTTTCTGTAATGACCTAAAATTACAACTTAACTCCATTTCATGTATAAATAGGATGTAATATACTGAGTATTTTAGAACACTACTACCATGGAAACAGGGGAGACTGAATTTGTTTTGTTTGGGACTTCACTGAGAATTGTTCACTTTTTGAGAATACATCTCTAAGAAAAATGCCACTGACTCATATAATCTGCTTGTTTCGGACCACACTGGAGGCAGAATGGAGTTTTATCTATGGTGTGAGCACCTGACTACTTCATCATGTTTTCCAACGTGGCTATAGTGAGGACCTATTGACATGTGCAATATTTTATTATAAATCATTTCCTTCTATTTTTCTTTTATACTATCATGGGTGTATGGGTATATACAAGTTCAAGTACACACACACATATATGTAAATATATATTATATATTCAAGTATATATAAATATATAATGAAATTGTGAAAAGATTATATTATCCTTGAGACATCATCCATTATTTGTTATGAAATGTAGGTAGGTGACAGGTCTGAAAAAGCTGAAAGCCATTGATTCTGAGCCAACTCTTCCACTCAATAGGTGGGGAAAATGAGACCCAGACAGGGGAGGTGACTAATCTCAGGTCACGCAGAAGCCGATGGCAGAGTGAGAGCTAATCAAGGCCATGTGCAATCTGACCCCATCCCTCACCTCCTGCCTCCTCATCACATGATGCTGCCTCATGGCACCCAGCCCCAAAGCCATCACCTGGACTGTTTCTTTACTGACTCCTCTCTGCTTGTTGTAATCACCCTGGCACACAGCTCCACTCCAGGACCCATCCTCTGGGAAGGCTTCTTAGTTGCCCAGCAGGTGTGCTCACTCTTTTTTCTGAAATTCCTTAACTTCTTGTCCCCTCCTGATTATATACAGGTTATAGTCTCCTGTGCCCACAGCTTATGCCCATTTGCACCAGGAGGCCAAGGGCTATGTACCATCCAACCAGGTTCTCCTTTCTGTGCCCAGTGCCCAGCACAGAGCCAGGCATGGTGAAGGTTTCCAGAAAGGCTTACCAAATTAAACTTAACCGTGCTTGTGTTGCTCTTGGGCAGGCCACACAGGCTAGGTCATCCGGCTCTGGGCTGGCCACACTGGCTTAGCAGGTCTGGCTTTCAGAGTCTCTGTTTATTCTCTTTGTGGTGAGGGAACTGATGCTCAGCCAGAAGATGGAAGGACCTGGAAGTGGCCCTCCTGAGCCTGGATGACCGTTTCCAGGCCAGAGCAAGACAGGCAAAGAAGGATGAAGAAATAGAATCCTGCCACCAGTTCCTATAGGAGCAAAGAATATCTTCATGCTGCTCTCTGGTGCTTTCCTCCTCCGGGGGTGCAGAAGCATGCTTACACTGGCTGGAGCATTACCCCCTACTTCTATCACCTCTGTTGGCTGCATGTGTGCCCAGAAATAAAACACCAACAGGGAGCAACAGCCAGGTTCCGAACTATGCTCCCGTTCACAAATCCACTAACGATGCTGACCGTTGACTTCTATCAAGCTCCATCCACGAGCTCTGTTAGGAGTAAATTCAGTTTTGAATTTTATATTCTCCTTTCCTGTTCTTAGAATGCAGAGTGCTGAATGGAAACAATTAGCCCTGTGAATAGAGGGGTCAATGGAAACACAACTCTCTATCCAGGGACAGGGGAGAGGGGGAGCCATGTGCTCATGGAATGGAAGGCATGGAATCAGTGGATGAGTGTTCAACTGTGTTGTTGGCGGGGCGGAACCAGAAGCTCCTGCCACATGGCATGTGGGAATTCCCACATGCCTCCCACGGTGGGGTCGGGAGGTGAGAGGTGGAGGGAGGTGTAGGAAGTGTGTGCGAAGGGGAGGCTGGGGAAGGAAGAAGAATCTAATTAGACACAGATGGGCCACTCCTACTGGCTGTGGAATGTGGGTCACACTCAGGCGGCTATAGCAAAACGGGCAGAGCGGGCACAAAGCCAAGGTGTGGGCAGCAGCAGTTCTGAGTGCCACGGGAGCCTGGGGTGCTCAGGGTGATTGAGGAGGTCGGCAACAGGCAGAAACTGCAGCCAGGCCCGAAGGACAGGGGCATGGAAGGTGGGGACAGGGGTGTGGAGGCAGATACCAGCACACAGGCCGGAGGGCTCAGGTCCAGACCCTTGGGCCCAATGTGTGGCCACTTCCAGGCCTACCGATGCGCGGGGAGGCAGCCAAGTGGGCTCTCAGTGGCTCTGAGATTGGGCCCACCGGGCTGAGCCTGCGGTAGAGGAAATCCTGAGAGCACCGGGAGCCAGCTCCTGGGCGTGGACCCTCTCTGCTTTGACGCCCAGGGGACTGGGTGAGGGCAGGGTCCACCACTCATTGGGTGGGCTTGGGGGCGGGGTCTGCCGTGCATTGGGCAGTGCTGGCGGTGGAGGCGGGGCGAGGGGGTGGGGCCTGGAACGGGCGCTGGGCCAGACTGGGCAGGGCGGGGCGGGGGTGGGGGGACTGGGCCGGTGTTCTTATGAGGCACAGGGTGTGTCCTGTTTCTTAAGAGGCTTTTACACCTCAAGGGGTGGACCTTGGGGTCCACCTCCAAGGTCTCCCATCTCATCAGAACAGGTTCTGTCTTCCAAAGCCTCCTTTCCACCCTTCCTGAGGCTAGCGCCGGCAAGAGAAACAGCCTTTCAGACCAGAGAGAGACCCAGAAGGGGGCATGGCAACACCTTTTCCCCCCACTGAGATGTCGCCCTGGCTGGGGAAAGGCAATCTCCACCCATCCTGTATCCTTGGCAGAGATGCCAGGCTCCAGCGAAACAAAGCAGTCCCCCTGGGATCACTGTGTTACAGGTCAGAGCTCTTTCCTAGGTCCTGAAACACTGTTTTATAAAAACAAAAGTAGATATTGGGGCACCTCATCTGGTCTCCAGGTATTTTGTCTGTCCATGTAAGCCTGAGACCCTGAGGTCAGGGGCATGGGGGTGGAGATGTGGAACTGTGGAGGCCCCAGGAAAAGTCTTCTGGCCATCGTCAACCACACACCACATGGCCCAGGCAGCAGAGAAACCCCTAGGCCAGCACCATTGCTGGGCAGCGGGTGGCCGGTGCCTCTCTGTTCCCAAGGACAGTGGCTCAGTGGTTGAGCGTCTGCCTTTGGCTCAGGGTGTGATCCCAGGGTCTGGAGATCGAGTGCTGCATCCAGCTCCCTGCAAGGAGCCTGCTTCTCCCTCTGCCTGTGTCTCTGCCTCTCTCTGTGCGTCTCTCGTGAATAAAGAGAAAAGAAAAAAAAGAAAAGAAAAGAAAGAAAAGAAAAGAAAAGAAAAGAAAAGAAAAGAAAAGAAAAGAAAAGAAAAGAAAAATCCCAAGGACAATGGCTAAACCCTTCAGAAGCCTGACGGGTCAGGAGATACCACCAGCTGTTTCCTTTGGCCAGGCTCTTACAAAATCTGCTGCCTTGGGCTTCCCACCTATTTAGGCCCTCGGTAGCATCGTGCTGGCATTTGAGAAACACATTCATATCCACTAGCTCCTGCGGAAACCGCAGCATCCCCAGGAGTGCAGATTACCATATCATTTGTCAGAAGAGGAAACTGAGGGTTCTCAGAGTTCAGTGGCCTGCTCGAGCTGCCCCTTGGGGTAGAAGTACAGTTGGAATTCGAGCTAAGGTCTTTCCTTCCCCTTTCCTTTATGTGGCCCCAGAAAGCCTGCTCAGCAAGACTGAGGAACCACTGGATGAGTCATGAGCATAATAATAAACAGGTATCATGTACTAAGTTCCAGGATTATTATCACAAATAGATAATTTTATTTCATTCTTATACCTACCCTAGGAGATAAATCACATCTTCCCCATCCCTGTTTTAGAGGAGAAAACTGGCTCAGAGAGGGCAATGATTTGCCCTGGGCCACATAGCCAGGCAATGAACACGCTGGAAGCCAAAATGATTGGGTTCAGGGGAGCAGGAGGAGGAGCGAGCAGCCCAGGGAGGCAGTGTCTCGTGTCCTCTGAGCAGGAGCCACCTGGTCTAGATGGGGAGGAAGTTTGTGCTGTGGAGCAGGAACAATCAGGCCAGGCAGTTGGAGGAGGGTTTTCAATGTCAGATGAAGGGTGGGACAGAGGGTGGGTGGTGGTGGAGAGTGGCGGTTTCAAAGCAAAGGGAATGACGAGTGCTAAATGGAGTTCTCAGGTGACCCAATAGGAAGCCTGAGCTGGAAGCTGCACAGCAGGAAACTGCTGGAATCCATGGGCTAGGTCCCTGGGGGCACCTGCCCCTCCCATCTGGACATAAAGGGCCTTGGTGCTGGCAGAGGAACTAGAGTGACTTCACAGGCCCTACAGACAAAGCAAGGGGCCTGGCTAACCAGGTCACTGTTCTCTGAACTCCCCAGGGACCACGGTCCTTGGCAGGATGCTCAGGGCACACACTACTGCTCCCTCAGCCCCTCTTCCACAGAATTTTCTCTCGGCCAGTGGTTCTTAACTGAGGGAATTTGCCTCACAGGGGTCATCAGGGAATATCTGGGAACATTTTTGGTTGTCAAAACTGGGGAGGGGGGCATCTAGTTGGGAATGCACAGGACAGCCCCCTAAGACAAGGAATTATCCAGCTGCAAAGGTCAATAGTGCTGACAGCGGGAAATCCTGCCCTGAGGCAACCAGCAAGTTCCCACATCCGTGTGCTCATACAGAGGCTCAGAGGAGAAACTGACTTGTTCAAGGATGTGTGGCAAGTTCATTCAAAAATATTGACCGAGTACCTCCTTTATGGCACTATTTTAGTGGCAGGCAGAACTGAGACTAGGACTTACTCATTTCTTTACTTATCAACAAACATTTACTGTTGGGGCTGCTAAGGGTATACAGTGATGAATTAGACCCAGGCCCGACGTCTTAGAGCTCATGGTCTAGTGAGACACACAGCTACACAGATGTTGACAAAGCAGTGCAACCAGGAAAGCCCAGGACTACATGAAGAAATCCAGGAAGGCTTCTCAGAGGAGGTGTTTATAAACTAAGATGGGAAGGGAGTAGGAGTTAGTCATCAAAGACTGAAGTTTGTGTAGAGGGTTCTGGGCAAAGGAAGCAGCATGTGTGAAAGTGGAGGAGGGAGAGTACAACTCATTTAAGGCCTGAAGACGGTTCAGTGTGGCTGAGTATTATGGAAAGACGGGTGGAGAATGAGAGAATGGCAGTGCCCAGGTCTTACAGGGTCTTGCCTGTCAGCCCAAGGTGCCTGGAGTGCCTCTCTCAGCTGTGACAAGGTTGCAGCAGGTGGCAGCTGAGACAGAGAGAGCTCCTGAGACCATCTGCCTGAGGGGCTTTCCTGAGTCAGCAGCTAGGGACATGCTCCTTGCCTCCCTCGGTTATTCTGCTTCACCTACATGTTGCCCTCACCCTGCTGGGTCCCAGGGTGAAGGTCCCTCCAAGTCTAGGAGTACATAGAGGCTAGGAGTACCCCAAGAGGACAGCCCCGAGCCCCCCCCCCCCCCCCGGCAAAATACTGCCCCTTCTGGAAATGAGGACACAGATCCAGATGGAAGAGTACGAGAAGCTGTCCCTTCACTTCTGGGAAATTGGTAGTGATGTTCAGCGGCCTACGGGGAGCCCCATCTCCATCCAGCACTCACACCCTCAGTGATGTCTTCAGCCCCTCTCCATCCCTGCCTGGGAGGCCCAATCATGACATCCTGGGACCGGTCATGCTCCTGCCCTCCCCACTGTCTTTGCCGCTGCAGTTCCCCACGCTAGGGACAGTCTGGAGGCCCCACCAGGCCCCACCCTTCCCCAAGTGGCAAAAGCCTCAGCCTTCAGGGCTTGGTTCAAACATCGGTCCGTTCAGTGCTTCCCCTGGCCACTCTCCTGCCCCATCCAGAGCCTCCTGCTTCCCCCTTGGGGCTTCCACAGCACTGTGGAAGTCCCTCGTCATAGCTTGTCCCGCTGGGCTCTCAGGATCTGTTTGTGCATCTGTTTCTCCTGACCCCTGAAAATCCCGAGGGACTTTCATTGTCCATAGATGGAAAGAAGGAATGCAGACACAGGGACAGAGCTCTGGCTGCTGTGTGACTATGGGAAATCAGTGAGTCTTTCTGAGCCTCAGTCTCCCACGCAGCTTTCCTGGGTTGATATGTGGCCAGAGAATGCCTGGTTGGCTTAGTAGGTACAGAGCACAGGCTCTGGGGTCTGATGGGTCTGAGTGTAAATCCTGGCTGTACCACTGATAGGCTGTGATCAGGAACAGGACAAGTTCCTAACAGTTCTGTGCCTGTTTCCTCAACCGAAAAAATGAGGATAATAAGAGTGCCTACTTCTTAGGGAGACATCACCTTTATGTCCTTGTCTCACCTTAAAGGACATGGTGCCTTTGTAGGTTGTATGATTTCAGGTCCCAAGATCTACTCATGCCACTAGAAACCTGTTCAGACCTTCTCTCTCTCTGCAAACCTCCTCTTGCCCATCCTCCTCTCAGCTGAGGACCCTGCTTCCTATCTCACTGGGAAAGGGGAGGCCATCAGAAGAGAATTCTCTCAAGCTCCCACCCCTGCCCTTTTCTCCTCCCTCCTCTAGGTTCCCAGCAGAGATAGCTGCAGACGCCACTGCTGGCTGTCCCCCCACCCCCACCCCCGGCAACTCTCTCTGCCTTTCACCCTCAGTTTTGCCCTCCTTCCACTGGGCCTTTCCCATCACTTGCAGATAGGCTGTTACTTCTTCCACCTTTAATAGCCTCTGCCACATTCTCTTTCCATCCCTTAAATAAAACACCTGTCTTAGAAATAGAAAGCACTGTCTCCACTCACTGTCTCCCATTCGTTCTTGGATGGCCCCCTCTCTGGCTTACACCCCTGTGACTTGGCCAAAGCTCCTGTCATCAAAGACTGCCATGGTGCTGGAGAACAGTCAGTTCTGGGCCCTTCCACCTGGCTCAGTGGCCATTGCTGCCATCAGCCACTCTCCCTACTTGGTTTCCAGGCCATACCGGGTTTCCCTCCCACTTCTCTAGCTGCTCCTTCCCAGACCCCTTGGCTGGGTCTCCCTCCTGTCTCTGTCTTCTGGGATTGTCCCAGGGCTCTAAAGTTTAGAGTAGCCCTGTCTTTGTTCTCTCACTTCCTAGGTGATCTGATCCAGACTCATTAAATACTATCCACGTGCTTACTCTGCCAGCCCTGACCCTTGTCCTGTAGGGCACTTGTCATTCTGCCTGCCTTCTCGGCACCAGCACTTAGACATCTCATCGGTATTGCAGACCTCATGTGCTTACAGCTCTGTCCTTCTAGGCACCTCGGCTCAAATCATTGTAGCTTCCTTGTCTTCTTTCTCTCACACCTGAGATCCAATTCATTAGCAAATCCTGTTGGCTCTCCCTTCAAAGTTTACCCTAAATCTGATCACTTCTCTCTACCTCCACAGCCAGCACCCTGCTCTAAGCCACCATCGCTCACCTGGAATATTGTGGTAACCTCCTAACCAGTGTCCCAGTCTCCACCTTTCATCCCCTTCAGTCTGTCCTTAACCCCACAGCGAGAATGAGCCTCGAGGAACTTAAGCTTATGGCACTGCATGTCCCCCCAGACCGTCCTATGGCTCCCATCTCACTCGGCATGAAATCTAAAGTTCTCACACTGGCCTGTAGGCCCTCAGGGTCTGGTCACTGCTACCTCCCTAACCTCACCTCCATTCTAGCCACACTGGCTTCCTCACCAATCCTTGAACATGCCAGGCTTTCTCCTGCCTCAGGGCCTTTACACTTACTATCTCCACTGCCAGGAACACTCAGAAATCTGTATGGATCGCTCTCCTTCTTCCTCCAGGCATTTACTTCTATGCTTCCTTCTCAGTGAGGTCTTCTTACTGGGCCCTTTACCTGAAATCTCTATCCTACCTCAACAACCCCTAGCTCCCTTCCTCCTCTTTTATCCTTATCTAATGAACTATGAATTTTACTTATTTACTTTCATTTTTTCTCTCCCTATGATGTAAGATCATGAGGACAGGAATTTTGGCCTATTTTGCTCACTGCTATGTCTCTAATATCTAGAATAGTGTGTGGTGTGATATGTGTTGTATGTATAAGATGGATGAGTTAAGTGTCCAAAGTTTCAGTCTCTTCATCTGGAGAATGGATATCTTAATGGGACCTACCTTATGGCTGTGTGAGGATTCACTGAGTTGAGTGATTGTGTGGCTGCCCAGCACAAGCCCTGGAACACAGGAGCTACTAAGCAAGAAATTCGTCTCATCTCTCTACCCTGCCCCATGCTGGGTTTAGAGAAGGCAGCTGGGCTGCGATGGACCCTTCTAGCTCCTGCCCATGATAATGCTTGCCTCTTCCTGGGTGCTCTCAGTGACTGGCAGGAAGGGCCTTACCTGGGTGGATGTCCTGGAACAGGGACTTCCAGATGGTGTACTGCAGGGGGCCTGTGTACTTGGAGGTCGGGAAGTCTTCATAAGTCAAATTGGTCTCATGGATTTTCCCTTTAAGTCTGGAAAGAAAGGTGAGCAGGCTGCATTGGGGGCTAGATTTTGTTCCCAGCACTGGGGGCCTTATAGCCATGTTCAGGGCAGCTGACAAAGGGCAAGGTCGTGTATGTAAAGTCTGACAGCCCCAGATTCAAGTGCCTGCTTGTGTCACTTGCTACCTCTCTATAGCCTCAGTTTCTTCACCTTTAAAATGGATACTATGGGGCAGCCCCAGCGGCTCGGCAGTTTAGTGCCACCTTCAGCTCAGGGTGTGATCCTGGAGACCCAGGATTGAGTCCCATGTCAGGCTCGCTGCATGGAGCCTGCTTCTCCCTCTGCCTATGACTCTGCCTCTCTCTCTTTCTCTCTCTCTGTGCCTCTCATGAATGAATAAATAAAATCTTTTTTTAAAAAATGGGTACTATGATAGCACCTGCTTTCTTGCCTTGTAAGGACTACATGGAGTAACGGACATAAAGTGCTCACCACAGTGCTGGGCTCATGGTCAACACCGAATACCTGATGTTAGCTATCAGCACTGATCATCAACAGACCGATAGTAAGGGACACCTGGGTGGCTCAGCAGTTGAGCATCTATCTGCCTTTGACTCAGAGCGTGATCCTGGGTCGGCATCGAGTCCCACATCGAGCTCCCTGCATGGAGCCTGCTTCTCCCTCTGTCTGTGTCTCTGCCTCTCTCTCTCTCTCTCTGTGTCTATCATGAATAAATAAATATTCTTTAAAAAAAATAAACTTGTAAAAAAAAAGACCAATAATGGGTATTAATATTAAACGTGGTTATGGGACGAGGGAGACCTGCAGCTGAATCCTGGCTCCACCATATACTAGATGAGGGGCCTTGGCCAAGCGATCCAGCTTCTCTCTGCCTGTTCCTATGTGTGTGAAAGGGTTCGGCAGCTGGAACTATCTCCGAGGGAGTTAACAGGGGAGGCCTGTGTGTGCAGGGGGAGGCAGCTGGCTGGCGGCGGGCACTCACCGCTCGGACAGCGAGGCCACCCCGGCCAGGAAGGTGTGGCGGTCAGTTTCAGCCAGCCGCTCCTGCAGGATCTGGGCGCCCTCCTGCACCTTGCGCAGCTGCTGGCTGTACCGCTGGACCTTCTGCTCGATGTCGGTCAGCGTGCGCGCCGTGTCCGCCTCCAGCTCCTCCAGCATGGCCTTCTGCCGCTCCCGCAGCAGCCGGTGTAGCCGCTCGAACGCCTCACCAATGGTGGTCCGCAAGCCTTTGGTGGAAGACTGTGGGGACAGTCATCAGGGGTTATGCCCGGGGGAGTAGATGGGGTGACCCCTGGGAGAGAGGAGGAAACCGAGAGCCTTGAAGTGGTGAGAAGAAAGACCCGGGAAGGGTAGGCTCTGGCCCAGGAATGGCAACCTGGCAAAGCACGGTGGCATGGCAGGCTGGCGTAGGGGGGGCCGGGCCTGATTCCACGTGCCCCTTAGGAAACGAATGAAACGCTCTGGGTGACACACTGCGGCTTGAACTAGAGGAGTGGCAGAGGGACCGTGGCTTGAAAGACATTGGGGTGCAGGCTGGATGCAGGAGAGAAAAGTGTGAGGATGATGCCCAGTTTTCTGGCTTGGGGGTGGGGGGCACGCGGAAGCTGGGGGAGAGGTGGTAGGTGGGGAGAAGATGCTGAGTTCACTCTAGGATCCAGTGAGGTTTTTATATGCAAAAAAAAAAAAAAAATCACTCATGGGGCTCAAGTGAAGATGACAAGGAGATTGCAGATATCAAAGAGCTTTATAAACTGCAAAGTGCCAGGTAGACCTTGGTGGTCACTCGATCTGTCCAGCCACCCTTGTGACCTCCTCGCCAAGAAACCAGAGATGGAGCTTAAAACGATGATCACAGGAGGCAAGACTGGACTTGCCTAGTTCTCTGCTCCGCGGGCACCACCAGGCCCAGGAGGGGCCCGCGTGGTGAAGGCCACAGGCTTCGGTGCCCAACAGCTCTGGGTCTCTAGCGTTGGCAAGCTCAGTCCCCTGATGTCTCTGACCCTGTCTTCTTTTCTGTGAGGGAGTAACATGACCACATCACAGGGTCCTGGGGAAGATTAATTGGGGGCATGTTCACAAAATGCATGGCATTGTTTGGGGTGCAGAGAAAGAGCCTGATTATTAAAAGGACCAATTCTAACAGGCACATCCTGGAAGTCTTCATTGAGAGGTGGCCTCTGAGCTGGGGCCCAGACTGGCAGGAAGTCCACTGGGGTTGCAGGGAGCAGCACGAGTCAGGACAGCACGGGGGTACGGGGGGTACGGAAGTGTGGCCAGGCTGCGGCAGCGTGCGGGACCTGCCTCTGCAATTTTACTTTGTGGGATTCTGGCTGGGAGTTCACAGAGTCAGAGACCCTGCTGTGTTCAGTGCCCAGGGCTCTGGTGGGAGGCTTGACAAAGGCTCAATTAGGGCCAGTTCCCTCCTGTCACGGCGGCAGGAAGAACTGCTGGCAGTGGGCCAGCCTCCCCGCGCATGCCCACCCAGAGCGCCAGACAGACAAAGGGGGCGGAGGAGAGGCTGGGGCTGCACAGCCAGCCTGCCTGTGGCCTCCCCGAGCCCCTCCCTGAACCGTGAGGCTTCCGTGCCGGTCACAGGTGGAGAAGATGAGGCCTGCCTTCCCTACCCCATCTGCTGCTGCCCCCTCAAAGGACCCTCAAATCCCACATCCACTCCTTCCAGCTCCTTCTCAACCTTCTATGGCAGTGTTTGGCACACTGGGCAGTCCCTACTAGCTGCAGGTTCTGGTTTGCCTCTCACCTCTGTGGTTGCTCCTTCCCGGCCAGCTCCTTCCCTTCTCATCTACATGTCCTCCTATATATTCCAGCCCCGCTGCATTGAGGATGCTGCTACGTCCTTATCTGTGGCCTAGCATGTCTTCTGAGCACCACATTCGTCTTTCCACCTGCCTCAACCACACATACTCCTGGGATCCCATAGGCCACCCAACTCTCTTGGTCCACAAGTCAACTCTGTGTCTTTGGCAACCAAACTCACTGCCACAGTGACCCTTCTAATGTGCAAAGCAGATCAAAGCCAATGCAGTTTAGGAACATTTCTTGGCTCCTTGATAAGTAGTAAAACACTAAATCCCTTAGCCTGGCTTCAAAGTCCTCAATCTGATCCCAACTTACCTCTTCAGTGCCGTTCTGTTGCAATTCCACCTGTCTAGGATGGACCCCCTCCTAACAAAATCTTTATTCAACAGGCAAACTCCTACTTATCCTGCAAGACCCAGACTGAAAGCTACCGCCTCTGTGATAACCTCCCTAACTTTTCCAGGCAATTAAATAGTTAAGTGTCTCCAAAGCATTCTGTAAATATTCTTAATACACAGTCTTACATTTTATGTGGCTCCAGCTAGTGAACAAACCCCTGGGGGTAAGAATGACGTCTTTCCCAGGCTTGAATTTCCTGTGCCCATCCCAGGGCCTGGCACAGGGCTGGCAGTCAAAATCTGCTTGAGAGGTGAAGGAGGAAGAATCTTGACAAAAATTGCTCTGCAGAGGTGGGTGCAGACTCCATCTTCTTTTTAGGATGGGGGCCTAGTATCTTCAGGACAAAAGAGGAAGGGCAGGAAGAGGGGGGAGAGGCAGGAAGGGGGCAGCTAAAAGTGGAATAACAGAGTGACAGCCATCCCAGGTGCCTCAAGTATGTCCCTGAAAAGTCTTCCCAATCTACCTGTCTTGCTGACCACACAGCCATAGATCTGGCTGAGGACATCCCAGCATATGGCTGGAATATGCATTAGGTTCTGACAAAACTGGATAGTAAGCTCCCAATTAACCACATACTACTAGCTATGGGGCCGTAGGCTGGTTTCTCAACCTCCTTGTACCTCAGTTTCCTTGCCAATAGAGTGGAGATAAGATTCCTACCTCAAAAGGTGTCCCCCTCACCACACACACACACACACACACACACACACACACACGCTCATTTGTTCTACAACTATTTATTGTGTGGGAAGCACTGTGCTGGGTTCTGAGGAGTCCTGCTGTCGCAGAGGTGACATTCTGTGGGGTTCAGTGAGACAATGAATGGGAAACACAATTACCAGCACAGAGAAAGGTTCAGCTCAATCGGTGTGCCCCATTTATTCTAGTTTTTTCTAGGGCAGAGCCACCCCCACCCCACCCCCCATCCCTTTTGTGCTGTGGCTGAGAAAGCGGCCCCTACCCAGCCCACCACGGCCCTGGGAATACACTGGGGCTCCGAGGAACCGGGGCCGTTTCAGAAGAACACCCTGCCAAGAATGCGTCACTTGGTCAGCCCCGACCAAGGAAAACACTGGGCCCAGGGAGGGAGTTCAGACAGGCCCTCAGGCCGGGCCATTGGAGGGGCAGGCGCTGCAGGAAAGCCGAGTCAGGCACCAGGTGAAATATGACCTCCAAAGCATCCATAGGCATTTCTTGTATAAACACCCCAGTCCAGACAGGAAGCAGGGCTGGGGGAACTGGAGGGGGAGGTGGCCCCACAGGACCCCCCAGAGGTAGACAGATGGACAGGAAAGCAGGGGAGGAAAAGGTCAGTGGAGAAAAACAATGGGGAGTGGAGAGGAGAGAACACTAGAGAAAAAACTAGACTATAATACTCCGCTCTCATTCACATAGTCTTCCATTTGCTTCTCTTCACCTGAGGGTTCAGAATCACCAGGAAAATGGGGAAACTGAGGCTGTGGAAGGCAAACAGGCTAGATAGAGTCCTTTGTTTCTCATTTATTGCCTGCTGAGGGTCCTGCCTGCAGGCGCTCCAGAATGTTTTCCAAAGAAATGTTTGTCGTGACCTCCCTGAGACCCCACACGGGTTGGTGGCCAAGCTGGGGCACAGAACTGGATCTCCAATGGCCTCTCCAGGCCTCAGGGTGACCCCCAGAGGTCCAGAGCATTCCTAAGGCTCTAGTTCAGCTGCTAGTGGCAGCTGCACCCCTGCTAGCTAGTGGGACCAGACTGAAATCATCATAGAGCTTAGCGGCTGGGCCTGGGTCCCCAAGTCTTGGTCCCAGAAAGGGCATCAATCAAAGCTCACCAGTTGGTGAGACATTTGTGTGTGTGTGGGGGGGACTCAGAGGGAGGCCCTGGGATCCAGAACTTCAGGGCCAGAAGAAGCTTGGCAGAGTCTCCAGTGTACAAATGGGAAAGACTGGGGTTCCAGAAAAGTATGCAGTTTACCCAAAGTCACATAGCGAGTTAGTGGCTGGATCAGAATCCAGGGCCTCCCTCTCAGGTCAAGAAAAGGCCTTTCTGTCACGCCTGGGTAGCTCAGTGGTTGAGTGTCTGCCTTTGGCTCAGAGTGTGATCCCCAGGTCCTGGGATCCTGCCCTGCTTCAGGCTCCCTACAGGAAGCCTGCTTCTCCCTCTGCCTGTGTCTCTGCCTCTCTCTGTGTATCTCTCCTGAATAAATAAATAAAATCTTAAAAAGAGAAAGAAAAGAAAAGAAAAAGCCTTTCTTTTCAAACCACTGCAGCCAGAGACTACAGGGTTTGGCACTACCTTACAGTAAGTTCATATCCTCACAGTCTAAGTTTAAGAGAGATACCAAGGCCGGGCCACAAATCAACAGGAGGACTTCAAGGGAACAGGCTCAGGGCTGGCTCCTCTGGTGACAGGCGAGTATGTTTAATAAGACCAGAGTTAAGAGAAACTAGGTACATTCTCCCAGCCCTGCAAGACTGGTCCCTGGTCCCACCTCACTCAGAGCAGGACAGGGAAAAGGGTCCTACCGGTAAGGCCAGGCACCAGTCCGAGTCCCTCCCTCAGTCCTAGGAGTGAGTCCATCTCACTCACTTACATAAAGAAGATGTGGTCTATGTATACAATGGAATATTCCTCAGCCATTAGAAACGACAAATACCCACTATTTGCTTCCACGTGGAGGGACCTGGAGGGCGTTATGCTGAGTGAAATAAGTCAATCGGAAAAGGACAAACATTATATGGTCTCATTCATTTAGGGAATATAAAAATTAGTGAAAGGGAATAAAGGGAAAGGAGAGAAGATGAGTGAAAATATCAGTGAGGGTGACAAAACATGAGAGACACCTAACTCTGGGAAATGAACAAGGGGTAGTGGAAGGGGAGGTGGGCGGGGGGTTGGGGTGACTGGGTGATGGGCACTGAGGGGGACACTTGGGCGGGATGAGCACTGGGTGTTATGCTGTATGTTGGCAAATTGAACTCCGATAAAAAAATTTAAAAAACCAAACCTTACATCAGGGTAAGCCCCGCCCCTCGCATAATTGGCACCTTTAAGCCCCGCCCCTCCTAACAGGCCCCGCCCACCAGCAGGCCCCGCCCCGCGCCCAGGCCGCTCTCACCTTGGTCTCGGCCAACTGTCGCTTGAGCAGCTGCAGCGCCTCGGTGTGCTCCCGCTCGCTGTCCTGAAGGGCCTGGAGCTGTTCCTTCAGCTCCCTCTGGGAGGACACAAGGCCGGGATGGGGGCCGGGCCCAACGCCGTGCTCCGCGCACGGTTCAGCCACCCCACGCCCCCCAGGTACCGAGGCGGCTTTCACCTGGAGTTTGCAACACCCTCCTCTCCAGCCATCCCAGCAGCCCGCGGGCTCCCTGTCTGCACCCGCCTCTCCATACATTCCGCCCCAGCCTCATGTGAGGAGACTCCCCGGCTTGGAATCCGCTCGTGGGTACCAAGGTACCCCTGTCCGCCGCCACGACTAAGCGTCCAGGGGGCTAGGCCTGTTCTCAGTCCTGTGCTCGCGCTGGGTCATTTAATCCCCTCAACAGCACAGAGGAAGACACTCTTACTACCTCCATCTTCTGATGGAAAAATGGGTACAGAGAGGTCATGAAACTGGCTCAAAAGCTTGCAGCTAAGCAAGTATGGGTAAAATCATATTTGCAATTCAAGCAGTCTGGTTCTGGAGACCCCGATCTTGACGTCAGGTGACATGTTTTCTACAGTGATGACACCCATAACAAACGGCGACAAAAATCCACTATACAACATAGGGAAACCTTAAAGCCACGATTAGTATTACTGATTTTCCCCTTTACCTCAGGTTCCAGTAGAGCTTAGCATGACACTGCGAGTAATCCTGTTTTTAAGAATTTGATATGGGCAGCCCCGGTGGTGCAGCAGTTTAGCGCCGCCTGCAGCCTGGGGTGTGATCCTGGGGACCCGGGATCGAGTCCCACATCGGGCTCCCTGCACCGAGCCTGCTTCTCCCTCTGCCTGTTCCTCTGCCCCCCTCTCTCTCTGTGTCTCTATGAATAAATAAAATCTTTAAAAATAAAAAGAATTTGATATTATGTTCATCATGGGGCTTTTTGCTTTACTATTGGTTTTTAAAAATTGCATTAAATATTATCCATTTCAATCATTGAGTTTGGGGGATGCCTGCTTCAATGCTGCGCCTCACCCTGGTCCCACACCTGTCTTCACCGTCCATCTCCCCTGACTCCCACACAGCCAGGCAGCCTTCTTTCTGTTGCTCCATCACGGGCTTGTCTCAGCCTCATGATTTTGCCCTTGCTGTTTCCTTTGGCCAGTGCACTCCACTCGGATTTTCTCCTCGTGATTCCTTTACGTCATTAACATATCAGCTCAGATGCCATGTCCTCAGGAAGGTCTCCATGTACAGCATCATCCTCTACACCCTCTGTCCCACATCCTGTTTCGAGGTCTTTCTGGCACCTTCTGCTGTCTGAGATGCTCTTACTCGCCTGACAGGTGCTTGTCTCATCCACAGCACTATGACTATCATGAGGGTAGGAGTCTTGTTGGGCTTGCTTGTCTTTAGAACAGTGCTCCACACACAGTAGGGCCTCAACGAATATTTGTCAAATGAATGAATGTGGTGTAGAGGTGGGTACCACCATGACAAGTCCAGCTATCTGCATGTATGGGGCATTTGGCCCACTGTATCATAACTGGTTCTCCTGTCTGTCCCCAGGGCCTCCCCTTATGAGCCCATGAGTTCAGTGGGGCAGGCCCTTACCATTTCCTGCTCCACAGCCCCTACAGCTATCAATGGCCTGGCAACAAGATGGGGCTCCAGGAAGTTTGCTTTGTGGATGAATGTCCATGGAAACAGCCTCTGAGCAGGACCTGGGTTTCCCCAGTCAGCCTGGGCTGCAAGAGATGCCAGGGAGCTGCCTTACCTGTTCACCCTCACCTCCCTCCTACTCACTCAGCTCATCATAGCAGGGAGGGCCCTTGGGAAACATCTGGCCCAGCTAATTTTACAGAATAGGTAGCAACATGGGAAGATAATTATGATGACATGCTAAGGGAAACATGCAGAAATTATCTTTGCTTATTACTCTTTGGTCATGCAACAAACATTGAGCAACTACTATGTGCCAGACACTGTTGAGGCTCTGGTGACACAGCAGAGAGCAAGACAGACAGTCCACATCCATAAGGACCATCCAGTGTGGCAGGGAAGAGACATACTGAGCAAGGAAAAGAACAAAATAACCAGGTGATTTTTGGATTCTGGTCTGTGCTCTAGAGAAAATAAAGCAGTGCAGGAGGGGCCCATGTGTGGCGAGAGTGGTCAGGGAAGGCTTCTTTTCTTTGAGCTGTCACCTGAGATGACACAGGATGGGGAGGGGCCAGCCTTGGAAACAGTTAGAAGGGACACTGGGAGCAGCTCATGCTGTGACAGCAGAGCTCCCACAGAAGGACGGCTGCAACTCTGCGAGCCGCCTCAGGCCACAAGGCAGCTGTAAAGATGGAAGTTACAAGCTGAAACCAGAGGGGTAAGAGGAGGGAGCCTGGGTCCCTGATGACTGTGGGACCCACAGCCACAGCACACAGTCAGCCACAGCATCACTGCTCAGTGGTGAGCTAGGGCGCTGGCCCTCCAAAAAAAACAAAAACAAAAACAAAACCCTGATTTATAGTGTTTGCCAATTTCTGTGGTGTAAATGCTTTCACTAAAGCCAATTTCAAGTGCTCAATGCAAGGTCACTGGACACAGACTGAGAAGACACTAGCACAGTCAGCTCACAGGAACCCGAGGAGGCTGGCTCCACCACTCACTGCCTGGGGGCCTTTCCTATAGGCATGTTGTACAGAAGACAGAAACACACACCATCTAATTGTGGCTGCTTAGCCAGGTGTCTGTCTGTTACTAACAGCCAAGAGTCATTCCTAACAGGTTCATGGGCATCTGAGTCATTGGAGCAGACGAATCTCATTCACCTGACAGTACAGAATGAATGCTCCTCAGGCCCTTCCTGATGGCCTGCATCTGTCCAGCTTGGGACATGGTGAACAGACATGCAGGTATCTGAGGGATGAGCTGAGTGTGACAATCCCCCCTCCCCTCCAATGTCCTCATGGGTCCACATAAGACTCAGCTCCCCAAGCAGCTCCTCCTAGTATAAGAAAACTGCCCTGGAGGTAGAGTTCCTCACATTGCTGAGGGCACCCAAGAGACTTGGACAAATTTCTCCCTGCTTCCAGGGGCGAGGAATGAGGGGAGCAGACCTGCCTCTTTCTACCGGACCCTGGGAGCAACAGAGCCCTCCTCTGCCCATTCCACAAACATGGGCAGAGGCCTCCTTGGCCCACGTGATCCTGTGTCAGCAACAGACAGAAGGATGAGGGACAAGCCCCAACCCATGATGTTTCAGGAGGGGTGCTAATGAGTTAGTTGGGGTGGGGGTAGACAGGGACACATGCATTAACATGACAGAGAATGCAGGAATAGAGATAGGGGACACCAGGCTTGCTGCTCTTCCCATGTCGCCATCTCAGTGAAGGCCACCCCACCCCTACTGCCATCCAAACAAGAAATCTGGGAGTCGTCCTTGACACTGCCCATCCACCAATGCAACCAGTCATCAGGTTTGTCTTGGCAGCTACTGTCTCCTGTCCTCACCTTCCCCTGGTTCGGTTTTCACCTCTGCTTTTCTGAGCTATGACCCTAGGCTCCCCTCCGCCCTTGTACTCTTCAAGTGCCCCAGAGAGCAGCTGGAATGACTGCTCCACCAGACACATCTGTGCGTTCTTCTTCCCCATTCCCCATGGCAGGAGTTCCACGGCATCTGAAAAGGTGAGCATGAAGCCTGAGCATGGCATTCAGGCCTTCACCACTGGCCCCAAACTTCTGCTCCAGCCTGGTCTCTTGGTCCAGACCTGCACTGTCCAAGACAGCAGCCATTAGCCATGTGCGGCTACTAAAGTTAAAATGATTTGGAATTAAATAAAACTGAAACTCAGTTCCTCAGTGGCACCGAAGTGTTGGGTTACACATTTCAAGTGCACGTGAGCCACATGTGACTGGTGGCTCCTGTCTCACACAGCACAGATGTGGAACACCAGGAACCGTCTGGTTAAACCCTCCAGATTTCTGTAACAGGAAACTGAGGTCTACGAGAAGGGACTGACTGGCCTGTGGCCACACAGCTTGACAGAAGAGAACCAACCAGAAAATGGACCACCAGCAGAAGTGAGACAGGAAACAGGAAGCTCTAAGTGGTAGAGGGAGCTCAGAAGGGCAGTGGTGACGTTCAGCTTCACAGGTGCAGGTCACGTAATTCTCACAACAGCCTCATAAGGTGAGTGCCTTTGTCACCTCCATCTCACAGAGGGGGAAACAGAGGCTCAGAGAGGTCAGACAGCTTCCCTGAGGTCACACACACTTTCCAAATCTGTAAAGTGCAGCTAATACCAGTGTTGGCTCTGTGGTTGTAAGGATCAGACAACTTAATTCATGACCTGACGTGATGCACAGGGTATACTCAGTCACTCTTAGGGTGCTGTCATTGTCATCATAATCATCCCAATTTCCTGTGAAATAGGGAGTCAGAACCAGCAGAGCTGCCAGGAGAGAGTGTATTTCTGATGGAAGGCCCGGGGAAGATGGATGGACAGGCAGCGTTCCTTCACGTCTCCTGGGTGGGGCCTGAGCATCCTGGGTGGAGAGACTAGTTGAGCAGGGGCACACCTGGTATGTGCAGGAAGTGGGGGGCAGCTGGGGATGACAGGAACCCGCTATGGATGGGCGGGTAGAGTCACAAGCTGGGAAGGCTGGGGTGGAGGGGGAGGAGACCTTGAAGGTCAGCTTGGGGGAGCTGGGCTCTGCAGGTCCCATCAGAGCAGGATGTCAGGAGGAGGAGGGTCAGGAGGGACCAACCATAGAGGGCAGAACCACAGCTCTGTACCCCTTCCTTTGGAGTGGGAACAGAGTCAGGGCTGGCGCAGACCTGAGTAGACAATTATGCAAATGTCAGCTGGGAGCCTCTGGGGCTCCCAGAGGTTTGGAGAGGCCAGGACTGGGGCAGCAGCTGGGGGGAGGACAGAGAGCCAGGGCTCATATGCTCCCAATGCCAGACCTCCCCTCCTGTGGGGCCACCCTCTCCCAGCCTAGAAAACAAAGTTGCTGCAGGAAGCCATTGCCTGAAGACTTCAGGGACCCCTTCTCACCCCTGTCACCAAGCAGGG